TGTTCCCTTCTTCATATTGCATGTCTATGGCTTTTCTACCACTCAGAATCTCCAAAAGAAGAACACCAAAACTATACACATCTGATTTGGTTGTGAGGTAATGAAGCCTGTAGTATTCAGGATCAAGATAGCCAAAAGTCCCAGCTGGGAGTTCAGCCAGTGGTGAACCACTATCTGCAGGACCTAACAATGATAAACCAAAGTCAGCCACTCTTGCATTGTGTTCTTCATCAATCAGAATGTTTGAGGACTTTATGTCTCTGTGAATCACAGGAGGGCAAGCATAGCCATGCAAATATTCAATTCCACGTGCTGCTTGCACTGCAATAGTCACTCTTCTTATCCAATTTAACTGTTCTCTCAACACTTGGTTTGTCCCATGCAAGTGTTGGTGCAAGGAGCCATGAGCCATGAACTCGTACACAAGAAGTCTCTCTCCACCTTCTTCACAATAGCCTAGTAGGTTGAGCAAATGAGCGTGGTTCAACCTTGAGAGCAAGTCAAGTTCAGTGTGAAACTCCTTGGAATTCTTCTGCATGTTGGGAGACACTATTGCCCTTTTTACAGCAACAACTGTCCCATCTTTCAGCACTCCCTTGAACACACAAGAGAAACTCCCCTTCCCCACTATGGACTCTTCCTTGAATCCACAAGTTGCACTTTCTAGTTCCTCATAGGTGAACATTTGAGCCCTTCTGATCTTTAACTCCTCAATGTCTGGCCTCACCTTATTCTCGTTTTGCAGGGATGAACTCCCGTTGAGTTTCTTCCCCTTTGACCCTTTTGAACACTCACAATCTCTTAGCCGGTAGCGGACGTATAAAATTGCAGTTATTGACACCACACTGACTATGAAAACCGCGAAAGCAATCTCGGCAATTACAACTGGCAACTGTAAAGCCCAGAATTTTTCAGTTTTCTTCTCAGTGGAAGCATTGGAGTATGAAGAGGAGCAGTTCGTGAAGCATTGGGATGAAGAACAAGAGGCACAGTTATATTCACACAGTCTATCAGAAGCCAAATTGCATGCACTCTTCTGATACATTTCAGGAGGACAAGCACCGCTGCATCTCATGCAAACACGAGAATCTGGTGATTTGCAGAGACCTTTACGCTGATTAATGGCATATGAACCAGGAGGGCATGGAGCAGGTTGACACATTCCTGGTGAAACAGCTAAAGGAAGTGAGGTGGGAAAATCAACTCCCCAACATGAAGGCATAAGATATTTGTCAGCAAGAACTGCACAAGTAAAGTAATCACCGGCTGCAACTTCAAAAACCTTAATCCCTCTAGGAGATGGAGTGCTTCGTTTGATGATAAAGCCCCAACAAATCACTCCACGATCATAGCTCTTAATCCCACATGCATGGAACTTCCCTCCCACTACAGAAAGCATGGGATCATTTGGAGCCAAATCAACGTTTCCTTGACCTGCATGTGCCACAGAAATTTCTTCCCCAAGGTTCAAGCTTCTCCCCCAACAAACAGTCCTGGAATTCACTCCCTCTAAGATTCCACACACATGATACCCACCGGCTGAAATTTTCTGGAATCTCTTGTCTTGTGGAATCAAACTAATCACCAGGCTATTAGTCTCATCACCCCAGCAGAACACAGTCCTGTTCTGAGAAAAAAGACCACAATTGAATTCGGAACCAGCTGTGATTGATTCAATCTGTCCCCCAAACACATAGTTTTTGGTCATGTTGTAGCCCCAGCAATCAACCAAGGAAATGTACCTGTGTTTTCCAGTCAAAGGTTTCCTCAAGCCACAAACATGGTAATCACCAGCACTGATTTCTAGGTACTGTGCTCCTCCGATAATAGGTTGTGGCACTCCCATTTCAATGTAGGCACTGCTACCCCAGCAGTACGGTTGATTCGAACCCATCAGAAGCCCACATACAAAGCCGTCTCCAGCTGTTAGACCAACAAATGAAAACTGGGCTGGTGTTCCATAGATTATGGCTGAATTGCCTCCATAACATGTCACTGTGTGAGAGCCATCAGATTTCAAACCACAAAACACAGAACCCTTTTCGCCGTAAGAGATGGCAATGGATGACATGGAACCAAGGCTTGTTACTTGTAACCACAAGTACGATAAAACCACCAGCTCAAACAGAAGCCTAAATGAACATGGATTCCCGTTCAACAACTGACGCTTTAGCGAGATCCCCATAATACAAAGAAACCAAAACATTACCCAGATAAAAATGCAGAATGTAGAATGCTTAATAACAAAATTGTTTGATCAAAGTATATAGCTTTGCTTCCATTCACTTCCCAGAGAGAAAACTATTAGGTAAGGCTAATGCAGTCTAGAGGGAAAAACAAATCTTGCAAACCTCATCTTGTTAACTAAAACCCCATGATAACACCATTACCTCACTATTTCGTACAGACTCTATGAATAACTAGCAATGCAAGAAAAAGGAGTGGTGAAGGTGAAACAAGAAAGCAAATTGAGAATCTTCTTCATTTAAGCCATGGCAAATAGATAGGAACGAAACTGTTCTGCCATTTCCAATGCATAGGAAAGAAAATCCCATACTTCTTGTTGGCTAGGTGAGAAAGACAAAAAGATTGCATAAAAGGCTGCAACAAATCCAACTGTTTTCATGACGAAAGAGACTCTTAAATCACTGCATCAACAAGGTGCTTGAATGAGGTGGCCAGCCCACATTGTGAAAAGCGTTTTTGCAATGCATTTTGGAGCATGGGGTGTTGGAGATGGGAAGAGGAAGTGAAAGTGAAGGAGATGTAGATAGATTGCTGAGGATGGTTGCAGGGTATTGTTGTTGTTGCAGACAAGAGGGTGGGGGAGAGACGGTGCATTAAATGACAGAAAACTGCTCCTTGTATTCGTATGGGCAAAGTGTTGGTGAAGCTAATAAATGATAAAGTTAATGCAATTCAATGTTTTCATGCTTGGACTACTCCATTTTTGGCCACCACTTCCAAATCTTACTTTGCTCATCAAGTGTGGCTAATGGCTTCCAACTTCGAACGATACAAAACACCACATCACACCTCAAACCATTCATTTTCTACTTCCATTCTTTCTCTCACTTTCCTGCTCAACAAGTTCCTCTCTGTACAGGTTGCTTCATTTTCTTTCACTTCCTCTTTGTCTGCTTCATCGGCTTTCTATTTTATATATATATATATATATATATATATATATATATATATATATATATATGTGTGTGTGTGTGTGTTTTTTTTTTTCTGTGTGCTGAAGTTTAGTCTACTTGGTAATTTGACAAACTCGTTTTACGAGGATAGAAGTTCGATTTATGTTTTTCTTGTGAGAACTTGATAATGGAGAATTGTCTACACATGAATCTCTTAAATTCAGTTCATTCAATTTTTCTAATAAAATATAGAGAAAAGTAATACATGTTATGGATGTGATTTGTAATGCGATGTGAGGAAAGCTGAAAATATAGAAAGTATTAAGTATTTATTTGTATGTTCATAAATGAACACTTTAAATAGACATCAATTTGAGGGTCTTAAATTAATGAAGTACTTCAGTGATATTTTTAATATTTTAGATCAATTTAATCAACACTTAAATTCCTTCAATGTCAAATATAGTGTACATTAATCATTAAAACATGTTAGTTGGATTAGTTTCAAAACTTTTCAGAATTAAAATTTCTAGGCATCATATTTATACATATTCTTTTACATATTATATTCGTTATTGTCGGTAAAATTGTTTTTCTTAATATATTTTTTTCACATTTTGTGAAAATTTACATATGGAATATTCACTATTGTTATTCTGAACATTTTTATATTCATTATTGTTATTATGAACTTTTTTATATTCATTATTGTTATTATGAACTTTTTTATGCATTTCATTGATGAATAATACTTTCACACTATTATTAGCACTCAAATTATAAGTTATGGATTTTAATAATGACTTTATTCAGTCAATCTCATTGTATCATTTTATAAATTAATGAAATAATATCTTGTAAAATAAATTTATAAATTAATAAAATAATATCTTGTAAAATAAATTTATAAATTAATGAAATAATATCTTGTAAAATGAATGTATTTGACATGTTGAGATACTAGTACTCTTCATTAATTTCAGTGGTTTTAAATTTGTATATCATTTAAACAAATACTAATACCCTTTTCCATATCTTATTATCCTTTTCACATTATCACTTTTTTTGAATCATTATTTGGGTCAACATAATTGCTCCCAACGTTGATGCATTTGAAAATTTGAAGTTGGAAGTTTAAAAAGTTGAGAGTTGAATTATAGATAATAAGCTAATTAATAACGTTTGTGAGAAATGCATTTAATGGATGAAACGTAGCCATAAAAAGAAAAGGAAAGGGAAATGCAATTAAACTAATTTCATGGTTTACATCTCACACTTCTTTGGAAGTTAATTTATTACCTAACCTTCCCAATATGCCTCCAATTGTGTCTCCCCCTTTAAAGACTCAAATAAACCCTATTTCTTCATTAGTTTATATATTAATGCTTTCTCCCTTGGATTGAAAAGCTAATTGTAGAAAATCACTTTTTCATAATCTTTAGAAGGAAAAGGAAAACACACCAATTTCTAAGTTTTGCATGCACTGATAATATAAATAGTATTGTTGGGTCATCTAGTAACAAAGTATTATAATATATTGCTTAAAATAATAAAACTATTTTAATTTAACTTTCTAAATAAAAAAGATTAAACATAATATTAATTCTGCATCTATTTTTTAACCTATTTTAACAATTATTATATAACTTAATTCAAAAACAAAATAAAAATAAAGATGTTATTGATGGAGAAAACTCCACTAAAGATAGTCCTGTTTCTTATAAAAAGATTAATCATACCATTACTATCTCATAAAAAAAGGAGAAAAATGTGCTCAGGTTTCTACAAACACAAGGGATGAGGATACATTTACATGCTAAACTATATACTGACAGACCCACGGATTGGCTGACATCAAACTTAAGAAAATTTAATGGTAAATAATATGATCTCGTATAAATATACAATCAGAAATAGTGTCTTAAAGGATAAATATAAATATTAAAACAAACAATGACTTTTATCATTTCTAAATGCCAAAAATAGACAGAACTATAGCACATTCTTTAGTTGTTTGATAACTGAAATCTTCCAAAAATGTCACCTAGCTTTTTAATTACTGTGGATATAACCTCTTCCAAAAGAATGAGCAACCTGCAAACAATTAACATGATTAACAGCACCATCTAAATTTGAATTGATGTAACTAGACTGAAAGGCCAAATGGCCTCTCACCAAATAACCAGATTTTAGTTTACAGCAGAAAAAAGTTGTTTCCAATCTGTTTCATGTGCCTATTTTTCATCATTTTGTATAGAAAATCTTAAAAAAGAGACACTACTCTTGTTATCTGAAAACATATCTAGAATGAAAACAGAAAACAAAGAAATTGTCTCCAGTTTGCAAAACAAATTTAAGAGAGGTGACAGAAATAATAAAACTATATGGATTGGAATTTTACGTATATTTGTTTCAATTTATGATTTCAAAAGTTTGATCACATACCAAAGTGATTCCACAGAAAAATGATTTACAAGGAAAACTATGTAAGTCATGAGGATTGAGTTATTTGATTTCTCTAATATGTCATATGAACATGTAAGATCAATTTCATGACCTATCTCATATCTCCTTATATGTTGCTCAAAATTAGGATGAGGGCTAGTTCGTACCTACTAAATATCCTTTTTCAACTTTTGAACAGTGGATTATGACTTGTTGAAAAATCTGGAACTAATTTATTACCCCAAATAACGCACCAAGCACTTCATGAACTCACTGAACAAGAAAAACAAATAATATCAATACACAGAAGAGTCAAACAGGTAGATAAGCAACTCGGAAAGTTAAACTTTGGCAAAAAAATTATCATCTAAAGTAAAGTTTGCAACAGGCAAGCCAACTATCAGGCCTACCTTTTTTTCAAGTATACAACAAAAGATGAACAAAATAGCTCTTGCATTGCAGGTTTTAGTGCAAATGAAAAATTAGAATTTAAGCTAATATGCCATAAAGCAATTTGAATTTCAAAAGACCAATCTTTTAACTTAATATGAGAGAATAGAATACTTTGAGTAGCAATAACAATGAGGCGGTTCATCTGGAAAAAATAATGCATAATAAATGGCCATTTAAAGATGTACATCCTATTTGAATATCAGGTAAATGTTGCAACTAGCAACTCGTAAGACACTGAACACTGCAATCAAACTGAATAACTTCATTTACTTTTCAGGTTTATATTCATTAGTTTTACTTTAATGCATAATGAAATGTCAAAGCACCTTGGAGATTAGCCTCATGGATCTTCTGGGCAGCTTCATACCAGTATTCTTCATGCTTCGTAAAACTCTTGTCGTACCATTTGAAACTTGAATCTCAGAGTCTCTGTTTTTTCTCTTTTTGCTGAGCTCCATTTTAGAATCTGGATCATCACAATCTAGGCTAGATTTCTTAGGTGGATCACCAAATTGGGAGCATCTGAAACCGCAGTACAAATATACTCAAATCAGTAGAATAAAAGCACTTTAAAAACACTGAAAAAAATAGAACAGTAATTACTCTGAACTCTCCCTTCGATCAACAATCCTGCCACCCTCCTGCAAGCAAAAGAATGTTGTAGCAAACTTAAAGTAAATGATTAACTAAAAAAAAAACAAAACAAATAATATGTACACGAGACCAACATTCCATAAGATTGCAAAGGATCACAAAATCTTTAGGTTGCCGATACTTAAATGATCAACGTTCTTTTCTTACGTAAAACATAACCTAACATCTCCAACACATCACAGAAATAAATGATAAAAATTCACAGAAGTGTTAGTGGCTACGATGGATGATTCCAAGATACAAAAGTATGAAGTGTTAGTGGCCACGTAGGAAACAGCTTTTAGTAATAATATCAATATAACTGTGTGATTATAAGAACCATTCATATTTCTTTTTCTACAGTGGAAGATTTCAAATTCTTCCAAAATAATTCTTCTATACCTATTCTAGAGAGGGTAGACCTGACAGACATAAAGATTTCAGTTTTCAATTTTGATTTTGAGTGAAAGGCTCTCCAAATCACATCTGTCTACCACAGTATTATCCCAAAACCTATAATTAAACTGGAACTAGAATAGTTCAGCCACATCAAATCTAATGTTTGTACTAGACAAAAACGTACATATATCTAGAAGGCTAAAGAAAAAAACTATACCCATTCATCAGTTAGTGATGTGAAATTGTTGCTATCAGTTTCAAAAATGATCTCAGTTTTGGAAAGTCTACCCTGTTCCATGTCAGGAAAAGTGCTCTTTGGATCACTTAAATCCAGGGAATCATCATTGCCATAGAGTGAAACTGATCCATATTTACGACAATTTATAACTTCTGAGTTTTGTACTCCCACAGAACTACTTACTGAAGCTCCAGCACACACCGAACTAGGATTCACAAAGCAAGAATCATTTAGCAGAGCACAATCCTCAAAACATTCATTATCAGGTTTTGAATTTTGAAGTTCTAGTATGCCAGGATATGACAGTGATTGGACAACAGAATCACAGATTGACTTGATGAATGGCATATTGGTAGCATCTGAATCGATGATTTTCTTAGAATTGTCTTTAGCACAAGATTCAGCACCACAAATAAAAGTGTTCAGTGCACCATTTCTAGCTTCAGCTGAAAGAGTTGAATGCTTTTCCTGTAAATTATCTTTCACTTTTACAGTCATGCTGCATGGAGTCAATGAATTACATATCAAAGGACTGCCATCTGTATTCTGTTTATCTAAATCTGTAGCTCCATCTTTTGTCAGTTTCAAGCTTGAGGGAGACCTGGCCTGACTATCATGCTCATCAATTTGTCCAGAATTTGTACTCCACAGAAAGGAAGATTTTCCTTGTGTAGAATTCTCGGCTAAGTCACTGAGATCCTGCCAAAGGCTTCGGGATTTGTTTTCATGCAGATTCTCACTTATGCAAACCTCGTTTCTAAACCTATTAGTCCAATCTGTTGGGGACAAATTTAAATCAACATGAAGACTAACTCCCACATCTGACCAGACATAGAATTGAAATGACGATGGAGGAGCTTCAGTAGCTGCTTTTACTGAAGAGGCAAAATCTTTCTCAACTGAAGGTGCAGATGCTTCTACTACTTGGCTGTTATTTTGGTGACAAATCAGCACTGTGCTGTCTCTCATTTTACCTAAATGTATGTCGAAGCCTCTTCCAGGTGACTTTGCCTTCTTCAAACCTATATGCATCGTATAGCCAAAGCACCCTGCATGTGCTGCACACAATTAAATGAGACATGTTCCAACAGACTGTACAACTAAAAGAAAAATGTAAATAAAGGTGGAGTAATTTTTTATCCAGATCAACTGCCCTTGCCTTGCACAATTCTAGGCCAAGTCATAGGAGCTATACCTTCTGTGAAATCAATAACATAACTTTTTAAGACGATCATAGTTTTCAAAATTCAAACAGCTCTGCAAACCAGTAATGGAAGACTGAAACTTACATTGTCTTCCTAACTAAGACAATCATTATTCTAATCCATTAACCGGTGCAAAAGAATCACTTCACCTACCCCTTGGCATAAAGTATATAAACTGCTTCCTGATTTCTTTAAAAGATCGAAGAAGAAGAATTTGGTTAGACAGTTGAACTGCGAAGGCAGGTATACAAGGTCTTGCACAATTGAACACAAGCCACATAATTGTGGGTGCAGCCAAATTTGGCATTACAGAATCAAAGATGACAAAATATTAATACAATAAAAAAGAAAATCAGGAGCAATGGAAAAATTATTTGCATCCATTTGCCAGAATACTTTTGGTCAGTCATTTGAGATCTTTAGGCTGCAGTTCCAAGGAGTGGGATTTTGACCCAACAATGATAAGGATCTTGCATCAAACATTGTATGCATCCATCTTCCCCCACCCCTCACTGCTTGAAAATCAGAAGAATTGCAAAATGAGGAAAAGAACGAGTCCAGTAATGTAAGACAAAACATTGTGCATACATCCTAGGAGTACCCGAATACACTGAATTGGATTGGGCATCATCCCAGTAATTCATAGATATTTTTCAACCATGGGAAATGTAGAATTACAAGATCTCATCTCAGCGAAAAACAGGTGAGAGGGTGTGGGATGAAAATTATCAGTGAAACAGTGGAATTTTCCCCACCTAGGAACTAGAGGGTTTTCTCATACAAAATTTATTGTTCTTCCTTCAGGTTTGTATTTTTTCAGCACCACCACACGGCAATATCTAGTTTTCTTAGATCTACTGCAGTGTCCCCCAATCACTAAGCAGACCCTTCTAAGAAAAATAGTCACTTGAGCCAAACACACAAAAAAAAAACACTAAAATCTGTTCAAGAAACTTCGCGCCTACTATCATTGTTTCTTGAAATGAAACACTTGTACATTTAATAAAGAACTAAATGGGGAAATGACAATATTTTGAACCTTCACAGGAAATCAGTTCCAATTCATCATCTTATGCTTGGAACAACGGCATTGACAAGCATATTTATGAGTAAGACTAAGATATTAATTCGTAAGCACCCCATTGCATCTTTAGTAGGTGAAAAGGTAGAAGCACCCAAGATTGACAGAAGGAGCAGTGAAGGTGTATGTGTGAAAGAAGAATGTGAATGTAAGAGAAACATAGAGAGAAAGTGAGACAGAGAACGATGATATACCTGATGGAGATGGAAAACGTTGCAGAGGATGATGCTTTTGTTTGATTTAGGAAGACCAAGCTTTTTAGAGGGAGGATTGCTTTGGTTTAAGAGAGTGGTAATTTCGTCAATAACCATAGAAAAAAGAACATGAATTTTCACACCATATGATATTTTTTTTAATTTTTAAATATTTAAATTATAATAATATATAAATTAAAATTAAAAAAAAAAATGTGAGAGACCATGGAATGGTTTTTAAATATAATAAAGATAAAGTGTTAAATGATAGTTTTCTTAATCAAGATTTGTGATGTGTTTTTACCCTAATGGAGTTGGTGAGAGAGGCTAAACAAAAGCAGATTATAGACAAGCCTTTTGCTGTGACACGTGTAAGGCTGTGGGAAGAGTGGGTTGCAACAGCGCCTTTTATTATTGGGCCTCACTCTATCCACTTCTCTTATTGGATAATTCTCTGTATTCTTCAAATGTTTGAATTTTGAATACTACCTCTATTATCTTGTCAAAAAAGTCTTACTTTCTTTTTAAACATCAGTGTCTAATGACAACTGGCTTCAAAGGTTTTTATTGTAAAATTAAAAAAAAAATATTATCAGAGTTTATTTTCAAATTAGATTCATAAATGTAACAATTTGAATGATAAAATAAACTTGATCATATTCTATTTATTATTTTGATTAGTACAACGTTATTGTCTTTTATTACAGACATTGTATTTGATCAATTAAGGAATATCATGTATGGGATAAGTGGTAAAACTTAGATCTGTGTGCATATAATTGTGTTTTTTATTTTTTAAGGATAAAGCATTGAGACCTTACTTTTTTTTTTTCAGGAAATATCTTCAAAAATAATATCAATATTAAAATTTTCTTATAACAAAGTTTTTTAAAGTGTGTCCTACTATAAAGTATTAAGAGTTAAAGAAATTGCACAAATGTTAGGAGTAAGACTAGAACAAAACAAAATTTTCTAGATTATGATAATTGTGATGGTCAAAATTTATGAAGTAAAATTTTAGCAGGTACGTTTTGATGATTTTAATATTAAAAATTGTATTCTTATAAGTTTTGACTAATTTAATTGATTAAACTCATTTAACTTATTGTTAATTTAATTAGTGGTTCAAAGAGACATGCGCTTAATTAAATAATTATGTAGTATATATAATATACACTGTATAATCACATATTTATATTTATTTCTTCTCATCTTATCAAATCAAACAAATTTAAATGCAGGTAAAATGAGTTTTCTAAAAATAATTATAATAAATATCCTTTTTATATTTTATTTTCTTCATATTATAGTTCTTAATTCCTTATTATTACTAGTTTCAATGTTAATAGAAGGTTGTTTATAGTACGATGGCGAATCAAATAATCAATTATCAAGTCTATTTATTTATAAATTTATTTTAAAATGTAATAGAATAAATATATAAATAATTGAAACTCAAATGAACTTTATAGTAATATATATATTATATTATATTTTTCTTCTAAACTTTTTTTATCTTTACTAATTTGTTTTATCTTTTTTTTCTAAATTAAGGATAAGGTAGAGTAGCATGTGGGTAAATATTATGTAGTACCATCATTGATCAACTTTAATCCATCCATCTTCCTTGATTCTGATCCATCATGTCATGAGAAACACACTATAGAAGTACATAATGTAATGATGTAAGCCACACAAAATGAAATAACCATGAGGCATGGAATGCATGTGACAATGCCATAGTCATGGAAACAATTTTCCAGATCATGAAATTGAGATTTTAAAATTGCATTTCGTGTTAGTAGGAGGTGCAAAAATATTAACCACTATTTAATTACATAATGGTATGCAACTTATTTAATATAAATTTTTTACTAAATAAACTATTTTAAGTATTTATTTTTGTATACATGATGCTTTATTATTGTATTTGGGAAAAATTATAATAAATGTGTACTTGTTCTTGTTTTAAAAGTTATATGTCACATTGATGAATTGATTTTTTTCTGGTACATTGGTATTCTTTAAATAACTAAATTGATTAGAATCAGTTTTATTTTTAGAATTTGATTAGGTTTTTAGTTCAATTATGGTATGTGTATATTTTAACACTTTTAAGATTTTGAGTTATAAATTGATAACTATATATAATGTTGTTAAAAGTTCTGTGGTAAAGTTAAAAGATAAGTTTAAACTAAATCCTAAATATAAAACAAGAATCAGATATAAATCAAACTGAAAAAGAAACATATATGGATATGAGTAGTATTAAATATTTACGAACTATGTGAGAAAATATAGACTATTACATTTGAAAACTAATATTTAATTCATCTTAAACTATAAAACAGAGGCAAAGTCTAGGTCAAATTTAAGGAGGAAATTTTTTTGAAAACTAATATTTAATTCACTTTTACTTTTTTATAATTATTTAAAAAAAATTGTATTCATGAAAAGTTTTTACTTATATATAAGTTAATTGAACTCAAAAATAAATATCTAATTAACTAAAGTTGTAATCGATTTGAGTATATAGAAATGTAGTATTTTAAAGTTCCATTTCTAGAACAACTAAGTATTTATTCTTAGCTTACAGCATTATTTTTAGCAGCATCTTTTAATAATTGATTAAATTTAATATTGTCTAACTCTATTAATGAAGTTAGGGATATAGATAAATGACAAAAAAAAAAAAAAAACACGCCAATGACAATTATAGAGTCTTATCTACCTAAAACTCTTTTTTAGGACCTAATTGTCTATGTCCATATTTTTCAGAAAAAAAATATATTAAATTCATCCATTTTAATTTCTAACCTTACGAGACATGTCAATCAAAAATGAAAAAATAACGACTTCTTTCTTTCGAAAACCAATTAAAATTCATGGGTCACTCAAGTATAAAAGCTTTATATATGTATTCAAAAACTACAATTATTTATTGTTTTATTATTATATACCTGCGTGTATACTTGAAACATGTGAAATTATTTTTCGTATAATTATAGAAATAAAAGTTACATAATCATGAAATAGACAGAAAGATAATAGTGTTTAAAAGGTAATATAAAGAAAAAAATAAAAAATACATGTCATAAAAAATGATGAAAATGTATTACATAAATAATAACAATAATAACTCATGGACACCCTGTAAAGCACCATCTCCCAAGTCACCATGCACAACAGTTGGTTGGAAGAATGAAACACAGAATAGGTAACTTAGTTAATAACATTATTATATATATTCTCTAAACATGTCTGCAGATTTAGTTACAAAATTATTATTTACACTTAATTATTGTCTTGCAATGGAACAGTAGCTTAGTCAACCTCATATCTAATTTATTTCAAAACCAGCTGGCTACAAATGTCTACTATCACTGATTCTTATATATGGAGAGAGAGAGGTGATTCTTAAATTTGACATTTAAATACACATAGTAACTGAAATCATCGTAGTATATTTTCCATACACCAACGAGGAAACCAAGAATATAAGAAAATGAGACCTATTCGAAAAGACAAAGAAGAGTATATACTGAGAAAATACAAGAAAAACATTCGGTGTTACTAGATTAACCAATTCTTATAATTAATCGATTGACCTATAATAAAGAAGAGTGCTACCAGATTAGTTATCCAAATATAATCTTAAAATCACAAAATTTGTTATATGAAATATAGCTGAAGATGTTATAAGGAGAATTAACTTATGGATAAGGTCCGATGTCCGCTTTAAGTAATTCAAGACTAATTAATGGTGTAACGATTATTTATAGACAGTTAATAGATATATTAACAGATATTAATAATTAATTAATAGGTTTGATTGTTATATCAAATATAAATATACGGTATTAATAATTAATTAATGGATTTGATTGCTATAAGTTCTATAAATATAAGATTAATGTCGAGGTAAATACATTTTTCTTCTATTTTAATCAAGTTGAGATCTTCTTGAGAATGATTTCTGACTTTAGCGTCAGAATGTCTTTTATATATTAATAATCGATTGGTGTGGATTGCGTTTTGAAAGAGGATTGAATGATCAACACAAAACGAAACAGAAGAAAACGATTGACTTTGGACCTATTCAACCAAAACAACAAAAGAATAACTTAATCTTGTGTTGTTAATGGAACCATTTCTTGAAGTCAATAGAACATATTCAAGACATATATTTGTATTTTTTTTTTCTACAAATGAAGAATAGGTCTTGCCGTCCTGGGACGACAAAATAATATCATCATTTTTTTTTATAATGGAGTGATGTCTGATTCAAATGGTTTTCAACCATTTAGGTACCATTATTCTACAAATTTGTTGGCTCATTCAAATGGTCTCGATGAGTGTGAGAAAAAGCACGGTATTATTTTCAATTTTCAACGCATGAATTCTGCCTTCCACTCTGTCTAGTGTACTGTAAGCGCGGCAAAATAAAAATAAAAAACCTACCTTATCACTTTCATGTTTCATTATATTAAATATAAATATTATTAAATATTAAATATTAAATATAACATCGCTGGCTTCATTTTTCGGCGGGGCCATCCTGTTAGATCCGTTATCAACGGTCTCACGCGGACATATCTAAATTTTTACATTCAAGGTTTCGTTCTATTTATCTGTCTTATTTAAGTTATCCAATTTTTATTTAAGTTAAAAGAAAAGAAATTAAAGTAGAAAAACTAATAAAATAACTATTAAAATCACTAGTTTTTCAGCAAGAATTAGTCAGTAAAAAAATAAAAAAAATAAAAATATTCAGGGTGATCTGGTTTGTTTGTAATGATTTGGCTATGTGAAGGAAGAAATTGAAGAAGCGCGATTAAAGCAATGATTTTTACCAACGCGTCTTTGAATAATCCAACACATTTCTCCTACCGTTGAGTAACGGTACCTTAAAATATCAATAATCCAACGCCAACATCAACAGCTGAAAAGACACAAACCCTAAACTCATGATTTTTTGTAAAGTCAAAAGCATACATAGTAATTATTTGCATGCCACCTGTCAGTGAACGGTATACCAAGCTGTATTATATATATGTTACTCATGATGACAACAATTCACGCAAATGCGAAGGTTGTTGTGTTGTGTTGTCTTGTAACAATAACAGCTTCCTCGTTTAGTGGCCAAAAATCTCTCTCGAAATCGTACCAAAAAAAGAAAAAAAAAACACTGCAATTTCGCTGTCGTGGTGGCTTCTTCGCGAAACCTAATAAATTTGTACCAACTCGGAGGCATTTCTCTCCATTGGAACTATCAGCTCCTCCATCACGATCCTCCGTTATTATTATTAGAAATTAGTAATTAATCGATCGGTTAGTTAGTTGATTAACTAATTGATTGATTAATTCCTAAGAGTTGATAATAGTAATAATGGAGGCGATGGACATGAGGCGCGTGTTCGAGATGTTCGATCGGAACGGGGATGGGCGAATATCGGCGAAGGAGCTGAGAGATTCGTTGGTGAATTTGGGGATAGATATTCCGGAGAAGGAGCTGGCGGAGATGATCGAGAGGATCGACGTCAACGGCGACGGCTGCGTGGATATGGCGGAGTTCGGGGAGCTGTACGAGACGATAATGGAGGGGCGCGACGATGAGGAGGACATGCGGGAGGCCTTCAACGTCTTCGACCAGAACCGCGATGGCTTCATCACCGTCGACGAGCTCCGCGCCGTGCTGGCCTCCTTGGGCCTCCAACAAGGGAGGAGCTTGGAGGAGTGCCGGAAGATGATCGTGAAAGTGGACGTTGACGGAGATGGCATGGTGAATTACAAGGAATTCAGGCAAATGATGAAGGGTGGTGGAGGATTCACTGCTCTTGGTTAATCTTTCTTCGTCTCCCTGTTTTTCCAATGCAGAATCGCATTACCAATATATGCATCCTTCCAAATTTTCAATTCCAATCCGTTCTTAACTTGTAAATAAGTTTCGTCTTCTAGGATACTGATTTCATTCATTAATGATTTATTACGTTGGAGGTTGTCTTTTTCCTGTTAGATTATCAATCAACTTCCTCCAAATTCACTTCCACCTCAAGCAAATTTTCATATATTTTGTTATAAGCAGTTTCAAACACTGCTTCTAATCCAATTCCATTTTACCTTAGTTTCTATATTTTTTAATCCATTTGTGTGATAGGAGTGCTTGTTTATTGATATATTTCTTATATTAAAAACTACAAAACTCCTGGGTTTAGATCATAGATCATTCAATACAATATAAGTACATGTTGGAACTAAAAGGAGGGACATTTGCTGCTGCTTGAAAGAGTTAATTTAATTCGTTGAACAAAATTGAGAAATTAAAACTAGATTTATCCTAAATTTTAAAGACTAAAATTATAATTGAGTCTATAAATTATGATATTTATTGATCAAATTTGTTTATGTGAACTGTGTTTCTCAATTGAGTGAAATATGAACTGAGAGGTCATTTTCTATTTATTGTATCGAAACATTTTTATGATATATCGTCATTACTTGTTGTAATGATATATTTGTTCATTTCTAATAATTTGTAAGAGATAATTCATGTTAGTTTTCTAATAGATAAATAAAACAACTTAATTCATTTTTCTTTATTTTATTTTTTCTTAAAAAAGACATTTTCATCGAAACCAGTTTTGTAGAGAGTAAAATAACTAAAAGCAACGGATACAGCAAATCCATTGGTGGAATTTGGAAGGAGAAGGAATTATTATCACAGCATTCTCAACAGTTTCTCATATACATACAAAGTAGATTAAAAACTATATTATTTAACATATATACAAAGAAAATATCATCAAAATGGAAGAATGAGATTCTACAAGGAGTGATTACATTAATGGTACTGCTCCACAAGAATGGACTCAAAGAACCTATACATATTCACCGAACTAGTTTCTTCTACCCACCAAAACTATCACATCACAAGTTCAACCTATCATTAGAGTTGACTCTGTTGTTCTTTGGTTTCCATCTCCCTCACACTGTCTACTATGTGCTGTATTTTCTTTGAAAGACTCTCGTTATGCTCTTCAATGTGCTCAAATATCAGTTCAAGATGTCTTTTATAGGTTGCAGATCGCTTTTTCTCACATGCCAACTGCTGAGATAGTTCCCGAATTTTGTCATGTTCATTCTGAAAATGGAATGAAAAGAAAGAGGTAAGCAGTAGCATAGAAAGGATTTGAAAAAGGGTGCTGAATAGAATCTCTACTAATCATTCAAGTACTTGTTTACATAACTGATCCATTAAGCATTGTATACAGTTGCAGAGTAGTGAAAGAACAGAAACTGACCGGATATTGTTCATAAACGAAATCCCTTCTTCCTTTACCAGGAGTCAAAGGATGTGTATGTTCCTTTACAAGCTTTGTAACAACCCATTTGCCAGAACTAACTTTCCTCACCATAATCATTGCCCGGCAACCGACCCTGGTCTCAGCCCTTTGCCTCACAATCTTCTCACGCTTGTCAGGCATTCTGAAACCTTCTTTGTTGCAAACAAGAGCACGTCCAATGGCAGTTCCATCACGCCTTGATCGCGACAGTTTACTCACACGCACGATGAATCCAACATCTGTGGCATATGCATTGTAAAATGCCTGTGCTGCTGATTCTGACTCAAATTCCTGACCCACATACGGCTCTTCAACTGCAACAACTGATACTGTGGGAATTGCAAATGGGATTGTGATCCCAGAGGAATCTTGAGCAAGATTATCACCTTCATCTTGTTTGTAATTTGGTTCGATAGATTCACCTTCTCTGTTGTCATCAGCCACGCTACTAATCTCATCTATAGCAGCATTTGCTACTGTCTCGCCAGTACCATCAATCTCAAACTCCACTGCAGCAACAAAAGAATCTGGTATATTATTATTTTCATTGCACTGGGATATTCTTGTTCTCCACAACAGTCTATGAATTTGATGAATAACTCACCCATTGAAGATGAAAATAGAGTAAGAACGAGTCAATAAAGACATACTATTTCTAACCGGTAACTAACAGTTCATGTTTGGGAATGGCTCTCTCAAATAGACAAGATTGAGCACAATGTGGCTTAATACATGAAATTCTCAAATCGAAACAAAGGCAACAGAATGGATAACAGATAACAGCCTTTGAATCTCCGAGTATTTGTCAAATACACTCCTCCACAACAACCAAAATAGATCACCGCATTGGATAAGAAAACACCTATTTTATCCCAAGTTCAGGAAAAGTTGTGTTCTTCTGAAAACTTCTACATTATCAACCTATCGAACATGATATATGTACTTCAAGAAAAAAAAAATCATCCAAAGCCAGTAAATTGAGTAAACAGTAACTCCCATGCCACGTCTGTCACGTACTGCGATCGAATCTGAAAAATGTACTAAAGCCGATTATGTCTTTGGCCGTTAAATCACTAATGAAATTGAAAAAAGTTCATCTCATCCACATGGGAGTGGAGACTTGCACCCAAGTACAGTACTCTCCTTGAAAGTTGAAGGGGTGTTCCTTTTTACGTTGGATGAAAACTTGGACAAAGTGTTTGTAGTGCTCTTTTCTGGTTAACCTTCACAGTTTCTCTTTTATCTCTTTCTAGTCATCAGATAGGTTTTGGAGTGTCCACAATTTATTTTACTAATAAAAATAACACACACGTCATGTTTCTGTCAGAGAATAGCATCATAGACATTTAAATTCCAACATCTTTATCTAGGTTTGTCTCGATTAAAATCACAAGGGAATGATGATGTTTTATATTTCTCATTGGCTTTTTCGTTCCAACTAACCACTTATATCAGACCAAAGACAGCGCTTTAACAGGAAGTTCCTCGTCTCTATCCAGAATTTCTAAGCTCAAATATTCAAATGAAGTCCAAAATCTTCTCAACGTACAAGAGTAAAAAACAGAGTCACGTATCAAGAGAGTGGAAAAAATCAACGGTAACAACAACGTCAAGATTCAATTTTATTTTGTTTAATCCACACCCTTTGTAATTCTTTGCAGGAACACAGAAAAAAAAATGTAACTGTCTTCCAATTCTACCAATCAAGCAGTTATTCCCCAAACCACAAACAAACAAACCCTAAGATTCCAGCTGAATTGAGATCCTCAATAGAGCGTACACATCCGAAATAAATAAAAAAGTTGATAAAAGAAAAAGAGGAAAAACTCACTGAAAATTGAATTATGGCAGAAACGGTGTGTGATGCAGCTAATTATTTGAACCCTCTGTTCCGTGCTACAGGGAGAACAGCAGAACACAGAGGAAATGGTTTAGGTAAGGCAAAGCATATATGGACCCGAACGCCCTCCTTACGTGTCAGAATCTCATTGGGTACTCTCTGGGGAAAAAAGTCAACTTTAATTTGACCCAACGGTTGCTTGCCACGTATCACATGAAATGGATACGGGCCCGTAAGATTAGTACCCGGACTCTAATCCCTACTATCCAATACGGGTAGTGCACCAGAAGAACAAAAACAACTGCAACACTGCACAATAGAGGATTCTTCTTCCTCTTCGACAATGGCAACATCGTTGTTCCGCACCATAAGAAGAGCATCCTCTGCTCTCAGATTTTCGTACGCCACCTCGTTTTCGGTCTCTCTCAGGTTCTCTCTCATCCTTCTCTCTGTCACATTTTATTCAGTTATCTGCCAAGTCACTACCCGAAACCAATTACACTGTTATATGGACAATATATTAGAAGCACCTAACACGGTTGGTTTCGATTTTCTTGTTTGTGGTTCTGGGTTGCTGAAGTTGAGGGCTTTGAATTAGCATTTGTTGTGTGAAGGTGCTATTTTATTCTAATTTCATCGTGTTCTAGGTCAGTCGGGAGAAGCAATATGTGTGTGTTTTCTCCTTTGAGGCATCGTGTCTCGCTAGGAGAGCAAGGTTACAGGTGGGGTTTAAGAAATTTGAGCCATGGCAGGGTGAACCTTGTGATAACAGGAGGGAAGACCAAGTTTGAGACTGATGAGGTTGAGCCTCCTAAGAAAGACAAGTGGAAGACCAAGAAGAGATTGAAGATGCAGAGGAAGAGAGAGAAGGAGAAGAGGAAAGCGGCCAACAGGAAAGACCCTCGTCGACTTGGTGTCAAAGGAAAGAAGAAGAAGCAGAGATTTGCCAGTGCAGATGAGAGAATTAAGTACAAGATTGAGAATGTATGCTACGATTGAATTTCCTCCTCTTCCTTTTTTTTTTATTTTTTTTATTTTATTTGTTTCTCATCGATGCCAACTATTGTGCAGCATACTGCTTCATTTGTATGGTTCTAATGGTGTTTGTTTGCTTTGTGCTGGTATATATGGATCTTAAATGATCAAATTTCTCACTTTTAGACCAGTTGGATTGAAATAGAGCCAGAGGTTAATTCGGTCCGGTTATATATTCTTCTTTTTGATGGGGAAGCAAGAACCAACATAGTTTGTTGCAAGATCTTAGTTTTGTTGTACGTCTTGATTCAAGATGATGTATACATATTTTTTTTTAAATAATAAATTTCTCAATTGGGGTAGTTATTTAGTGCATTGTTCTAACAGATATTTGTGTATATGTAGTGTTTTAATGATGAGACTGGGAAACTTGTCATCAACGATAACAAAAACTTGAAATGCTTATTTTCTTGTATATTTCTACTAAACTTCTGCATGATTCTGGTTTTAACCCCAGGCCAGAATTAAGGAAGCATTGCTCATTGAGAGGCTCAAAAGATATGAAGTTCCTAAACTTCAGGGTCCTGTGGTGAAGCCTGATAGCTTGACGGGGGAGGAAAGGTTTTATTTGAAGAAAATGGCTCAGAAGAGATCTAATTATCTACAAATTGGCAGAAGAGGATTATTTGGAGGGGTTGTTCTCAATATGCATATGCATTGGAAGAAACATGAGACTGTTAAGGTCATATGCAAGCCTTGTAAGCCTGGTCAAGTACACGAGTATGCACAAGAACTTGCCAGATTGAGCGGCGGTATTCCACTTCAAATAATTGGAGATGACACTATAATATTTTATCGTGGAAGGAACTACGAACAGCCTGATGTTATGTCACCAATTGATACACTGTCCAAGAAAAAGGTGTGTTTCTGTGTACACTCAACATGACTAAAGAGTTTGTTATCTAATTGTTTTATCTTCTTGGTTCCATTCAGTAATATATCCAATTATAGGTCATTCATTCTGCATGCTTTTATTCATCTGCATGTAAATGAATACATGATTGGTAATGCAAAAGTGGGAAATCAAGCAATGGACAATAAATAAGTTGGAGGCAGGAATAGGACAGTGTTCCAAGGATTGTCGAGCTATTAGTGGGACAATGCAGTGTGAAAATATTATGGCTGGAGAGGCTAAGCAAATAAGGAGCTGAACTAGGCTAGTGCAATGTCTAAATACGTAGCATTTGGCCTATAGGATAGAGTTTCTTATTCCATGCTTTTTTGTGTATCATAGTATAGTGAACTCTAGTCTGCATTTTGAAGTTGAATGTTCATGCACGGTTGAAAACTCATGCTTTGATTAATGAATTTTATGCTGGTTGATTGGCCATTCACTTCCTAACATTCTTTGAAGTTACCATCTTTACAAAAAAAATAATCGAATTGGGGCATTTAGCAGCTGTCATACCAATCCTCAATGACAAATTTGAATTTATAAGCATTGTGGAAATCTATAGTTGGTTGATTGTTTGCACTACACATTTTTCAGTAGCTTGGAGAAAAATAATTTGCAGTTTGGTGTGTCTTTCTTTACAGTTTCTGTATAGATACACTATTTCTTATTGTAGCTCCCTCTTGGTTGTGTGACATTTCATTATTTCAGAAGAAACTACTTTTCAACTAAGTTTTTGTGTTTACATATAAGTTTGTTATTGGTTTAAATCCTACCTTAATCAAATCACTTTTTTTTTTTTCTGCAGGCACTTGAAAAATCCAAGTATGAGCAATCACTTGAGTCAGTGAGGCGCTTCATTGCTATTGCTGAGAAAGAACTAGAGCTATATTACAGACACGTTGCACTTTATGGTGATCCAAACAACCGAAATCCCTTATCAGTGCTGGACAGTCCAAGTGAAAACTCCAAGGAAAAAGGGAATCATAGAATTCAAGATAAAAAAATCCCTCACTTGAACAGTGAACATTTTTCAGCCAGTCTTTCAGAGACTGAAGCATATTCCTCGGAATTGGAGCTGTCAGAAACAGAAGATAGTTTTCCAGATGAAAACTTGTCGAGGAATGAATCAGATTCTGAAGAGGACAGCATGTTGGATTCCAATGGTAATCACGAAAAGGAGGTATATTTTACTAAATTGCAATATGAAAGTGTAAGCTCAACCACAGGTTCTTCATCAATGGCTAAACGTAGCCACTATTACAATAATAGTAATAATAATCAATGTTTATAAAAAGTTCCATTCACTACATATTAGAGATACATTGTTAACAGATACCTTGTCTAAATCAACAAGCACATAGAAATGTACCTTGCAGGAATCTGAAAAATAGGTCTTTTGTTAAGTGTTCATACTTGCATGGTTACACGTGTGCATGCTGGTGTTGATAACAGGGTAAAACATTTTTTGTGGACACAGTCCACACAGTACTCCAAAGTTGACAATCAAAAACTGATCTTTATGCTTGCATAATGCTGTTTCCACTTACCAAGAGGGTAAAACATTTAAACACTTTGAAATCCAGAAGTTTAAATCTTAATAGGGCAATGATATGGGCAATGATATGTTAACATAGATTTTCTTACAACATTTGTACACAGAATACGTGTTATTTTCTCATTAGGTTTAGAATACGTTAGTATAATAACAAATAAATAATGAACAAGTGAAAAAATGACACGTGTGCTGTATCAAAATGTTGTAAAAAAGAAAATTATGAAAATATTTTTCTCCGTCTTAATAATACATCATGAAGACATGGACCTTGTGAGAGGGTATGACAACAGCTATAGGGACTTGAAAGTAGCACCTCTGATTCCAAATTCAAGTGCTGCATCATATTAAAGGCCACTTATGCATGCATTGATTGAAGCTACTGCTAGTGTTTTTTTGGCACATTGATTCAAAATTGCACAGCATCCCTGATATATTTTGGTATTGAATGCTTAATTATATTCAGCAAAAATAATTGTCCATTTAATGATTGATTATCTGTGATGCCATCTGACTCACCTCGCAATGCTGCCTCCTTATCATCATGTATGTCTTTTTATAATAAAATTAATATTAAATTATTGATTGTGTTTAAATTAATTACAACTATACAGTACCAAATTAGAACATTTATTTAAATATCACAAAATATAGGAATTAATTTTCTAACACTGGCAGTATGTTTGGTTTAAGAAATACAAATGTTAAAGAGAAAAGAAAAACTAAATAAAACTAGTGAGAGTCTTTGTAAGAGAAATGTTTCAATTATAGTATTATTGTATTATAATGGAAAATTATTATTGATAAGATAAGATGTATACACAAATAAGGGTGCTTTAATAGTTTTGCATACAACTGTATTGTTTTATAATTTCTTAGTAAGTTATTTTTCCCAATTTGTTTGTATAAAACTTTACACTAAAAGTAAATTATAAAATAATCTTTAAATAACATATAGTGAAAATGGTAGAAGGTTTGCATTAGGATTTAGCTGAGATGGATGAATGATGAGAGTACAGCTTTTCTTGAAAGGCACGTTTGTTAATTGGTTACACTGTCAAATTCCAGTAGGGTTGGACTTAACTGTAACCTCGTCAGATTCAGATCTCCTAACACCTTATGTTCCAAGATCGAAATAATTTTTATTATGATGTTTCATTAAATAAACCAAATCAATATACAATATACTTTTAAGAATATAATTAAATAAACTACAAGTATCTAGTTTATTTAAAATGTATAGTACATGATATTGAATCAATATAAAAATATTCAGTATTTATGTTAATAAAGTTTAATGTATGTAAAAAAATTATTGAAATAAAAAACTTTACTGAGAGATTTCCTTTCGAAACTTAAAATGTCTGGATGTTTTTAATAATCGTCGAGCAAAGAGGGAGATTTTTTTATTTAAAAACCAATGGTTTGAGATTTTTTTTGAATAAAAAAATGTGGATATATATGATAAGCCAAGTAAAACCATGACATGAGCTATAATCAACTATGAATGTATAAAAGGTCAAACAAAGGCAGAATAATGTACCACGATTTATTATTAACGTGTTAGAGATCATATACAATTAAGACAGGTATTATATGTAAATGTATTTATTTCAAAAAATAAAGTGATATGTTAAATAATCATAAATATGTAATAATATATATATATATATATATATATATATATATATATATATATATATATATATATATATATAATTGAATGTTTTAATTTATTTATGTTTTACTTACTATTGTTATTAAATAAATGATGAAATATTATCATTCTTTACTTAGGTTCTAAGTATAATTATACTTTATTTATTAAATGTTCTATATATTTAAAAAGGAACAAACAATTTTTTTTTTATGTTTCATTTTGAGGGAAAGAAACGAATAAAGCTTTTTTTTTAAGTGTGAGAAAGGAATAAAATTTTATTACTAGATTAACGATATATTCTTTACTATGATTATTCACATTAATGGGAATAAGGTACCTATTAATTAAAGTGGAATAGGTATGATGGATTAAATATCAATGGAATAAAGTAGCATACCCAATATCCCATCATATTTATTTGGTACACAATTCTTTTAATTTACTCAACATAATGTGCTTTTCATCTAACTAAAAAGAGAATGAAGAAAATACAGCATGCTTAAATTTCTTAATTTTTTTTTTAATTTTAGTAGATCACCAAAAAATTCCAAATGTTATTTTTTTAAAAATAATTTTACCAAACAAATTTATTTAGATTTAATTTCAAAATAAAATTAAGAATTGCATAATATCAATCAAAACAATGATTGTATCTAAATATAATATTATTCGATTCGATTTCATTTACATCCTATATAATGCACAAAATCGGTATTAAACCCATCTAAAATCTATCTAGACCACTAAAAAAATAAGTCCAACATAAAAAAGTTATGGTTTTATTTTGCTTTTAAAATAATGAAAAACAACATAAAGTATTATTATTTTACTTTTTGCGTATAAACTTATTATCTTAATAAATATTACAAATATGCTTTCACTTTTTTATGATAATTAAATTATTATTATTATTATTATAGTTATAAAGGTATAAATAGTTTTTACAGTTTTATTATAAATAGTTTTTATTATTAATCTAAAATTGGTTAAATTTAAAAAATGTCAAATGAAACAAATTAAATGTAAGTAAATAGTTGCTTAATAAAATAATATTAATAAAATAATTATTTTAAATCATAAAAGGTAATTAAAAAAATTAAAAAACAAATACGAACAATAAAAGTAAGAATTCTCTTTATATAAAAACCCACGATTACGTACACTTGTATTCAATTTTTTTGCATGATAATAAAATTATCATTATATTATTATTTTATTATTACGTGTAATCATAAAATTAAAGTTATCTTTTGTAACTTTATTATAAATAGGTTTTATTTATTTTGTAATAAAATAATCAAGTTATAGAAAAAACAATCAAATAAAGAAAACTCTTCATATATTAATGTATATATAGATATAGATGTTTTCACGCGAAATTTTTTAATTTAAGTAACTGAATGTTATTTAAACTTTTATATATATATATATATATATATATATTAAATATTCGGAATCGATAAATTTATATTTTATTTTAATTTTCATTATTTTATTAATACAGATAATTGAATTTGAGTTTAAACTTGAAATATTGACCTGCTACCTTCGTTTGTTTTCATAACTTTTCCCATTTTAAAAACAGAACCAAAATTTGAATATTAACGAAAGGATTAACTGATTTTCTTATCTTAATAATTATCCTTTTCCTTGCTATATAAACTCTACAAAATCAGTATCCAAAGTCACTCTTTCATCTTCAACCTCTGTACTTCATATCCAACATCCATACTCATAAACCATGGCCTCCACCAATGCTCTTCCTCCCACCGGTAACGGTCTCGTCGTCAGCTTCGGCGAGATGCTCATCGACTTCGTCCCCACCGTTTCCGGCGTCTCCCTCGCCGAGGCCCCGGGTTTCCTCAAGGCTCCCGGAGGCGCTCCAGCCAACGTCGCCATCGCCGTCGCAAGACTCGGCGGCAAGGCCGCTTTTATTGGCAAGCTCGGCGACGACGAGTTCGGCCACATGCTCGCTGGAATCCTCAAAGAGAACGATGTTAGATCCGACGGGATCAACTTCGACCAGAGTGCGCGCACTGCGCTCGCGTTCGTGACTCTACGCACAGATGGAGAGCGTGAGTTCATGTTCTACAGAAATCCCAGCGCCGACATGCTCCTCACGCCTGAAGATCTCAACCTCGAACTCATCAGATCTGTACGTAAATTAAATTCCCTTTCTGAAATTCTTCACTCCTTTTTTTTCATTTGTTGTTCTTCTTCTTCTTCGTAAAACTTTAAAGCGGAGGTATTTGTGGTGCACGCGCGTGTGGGAATGTGGGCTTTAAGGTAATGAATTTTGCGTAGTAAGCTTGTGCTGGCCGCGAGTGGATCTAGTATATATGTATCCCAGAATAAGCAGCAGATTTTTGATAAAATTAAAACTGAAAATAAAACTATTTTTTCGTTTTTTTTTCCTAATCATATCAGATCGCAAAAGCTGGTGTGTCACGTGACGTGTCTCACGTGTTTTTTCTATTTTGGAAGAAACTTTATGGGGGTGGATAAGACTGATTGGGACCACTTTCTCATAATGGATTTCCTGTTTCTTTTCTTCGAACAAACTCAACATATTAATTTTTTCCTTCTTCTTTTATTTTATTTTCAATATAATATTGGTTTTGATATTGTGTTCAATTTTTTTTTCTGACAACTATTCCATGTAAAAAAAAATAAAAATCAATTCATCACTTTTTAGTAAAATTTGTCTTTTTAATTATTCTTTCATTAAAATACTAAATTTTGAAACTTCATTTTCACTCCAACTTTATTAGAAAGAGTTACTTAGAGAATCAAAACTGATTTTTTAGATCGATTTTAAAGTTTAAGAAAAAAATCTGTGATCTTTCTTTTCTGTTTATTTTTGTTTAAAGTTAGCATTTATGTTTGTAGGCATACTTGTTGATATTTTGAGCCTTTGTGCTTCGAAAAAATTAATCATAATATATTCAGCAAAAAAAAAAGCTTTGAAAATAATTTTAAATTTTAACTAAGTCTCGCGTTCTATTTTAAGTTATTAACACAAATTACACTTTCCATTTATTTTCAATTTAATGCTTTCAAGAAATGGGTAATAAATTAAATTTCGGAGCATCCAATGACTATTAATTCTATAATAATCAAATATTTTATTTTACTTGTTTTTATAGTTATATGTAACTATTTCTACTCACGGGCTAGGTTGAGACTGGAATTAGTAAGGAAACACTTTCTGTTGTACTTTGACTAGAGGCAATTAATTGCCTTTGTCTCAACAGTATCACTCATGGGGCATGCATGTAGTCCCTTGTACGTGGTCTCACGCGCCTTTTGATTCTACCAGAACCTTTAAAAGTTAAATAGAATAAAATTTCAAAATTAATGCAAATAGTGAAGATGTCAGAGTTTAAATTTATGTTGTCTTATAACTTGTTCAATGAATGAATTATATATGTCGTGGGAAAGTGGGAAACAAAATACGTGTTTAGAGCTTTTGCTTTCAAACGGAGCTTAGAAGGAACCGACAACTAGTTTTGTTGTTTTATTTGTAATTGTTCTTATCATTTATCATACGATTGCATTATTTGTTTGCTTTTCCCGCCTGACCAAAATATCAGGGTTTATTTTATATATATAAGAAAAGAATTGAATATGGAGGAGGATGATAGAGACCCTCTAGGGTTTGCAGGCAACTTATCATAATGGGAGACAGTTCACTGTTTGTTTATTTGTTGTGTTGTTCAGAGTTGCAGATGAAGGGCCTAGCTTACATTTTACAGCCTTGCAAACATGTTTATAATTAAAAAATAATAATTTGCCGGCCTTTTGCCATAAAGGTATGGCGATGAATTCAAGAACAAAGTTCTATTTCTGTTTTCAATTAATGTGGTTGAAATCTTGAAGTAAAAGAATAATCAGATTGGAATTTGAGATCAACTTAGACTAACAGTGTAAAAAGTTTTAGAATGAAGTAATTAAAAGTTATGATTAGCAATTGTGTTAGTGAATAAACTTACGATACACATGATGTGATCAGGCAAAGGTATTTCATTATGGATCGATAAGTTTGATCGTGGAGCCATGCAGATCAGCACACCTGAAGGCAATGGAAGTTGCGAGGGAAGCAGGGTGTCTGCTGTCTTACGATCCAAATCTGCGGCTACCGTTGTGGCCATCGCCTGAGGAAGCGCGTCAGCAAATACTCAGCATATGGGAGAAGGCTGATGTGATAAAGGTGAGCGATGTGGAACTGGAATTCCTAACCGGAAGTGACAAAATTGACGATGAATCTGCTCTCTCACTGTGGCATCCCAATTTGAAGTTGCTCCTTGTCACTCTTGGGGAACATGGTTCTAGGTATTATACCAAGGTAAAAATAAACACCCATCTCTTTCAATTTTACTTTCTTATGTCCACTCCTCAAAATGGATGTTTGGTTAGCTGATGATGTTCGGTAAAAATAAATCACTTGCTTGATAAATTCGAAAGGTTATGTTCTGCAAAGTATGTTAATAGCTTATTACTCTTTTTCTATTTGTAATAATCCAGAATTTCCATGGATCGGTGGACGCTTTTCATGTCAACACAGTTGATACAACTGGCGCAGGCGATTCCTTTGTTGGTGCTCTATTATGCAAGATTGTCGATGATCAATCCATACTTGAAGTGAGTGCTAAGCTACGGCTAAATAAACCTTCACATTAGCTACTTCATGAAAAGTTTGGAATATTAATTTATCGTTATGCATTTTCAACTGTATTATTACTGGTTTTCTATTGCCTTTAGTATCATTTTAAGTTATTGATTTCTTTCTAACTGCAGGATGAAGCAAAGTTAAGGGAAGTACTGAAGTTTGCAAATGCGTGTGGGGCAATTACAACTACTAAAAAGGGAGCAATTCCCGCTCTTCCCACAGAGGCTGATGCTCTCAACCTGATCAACGAGGCATAGAAATTTAGTGCTATGATCTTTTGGTTTTCTTTATATATATTGTCTTCATCTTTTCACTTTTCTGCTGAAGTTGCTTGCTATCAACTTAAGATGGATTTTGATTCTTGGTTTTCTCTGTTTTATTTCCCCCTTCATTCTGCATTAAGAGTAATATCATATGATTTGGGGTTTTTGCAAATGATTTCTTTCCCACAATTGCATCTTCTTCGGGACTTCAATTCTGTTCTCCTTTTATTGTAAAGAAGATTGCATTATTATGAAATCTTGGTTTTTATAAATCAAACCGAGTATAGAATCAAAGTTTTGGGTCATCAATTGGTTCATTCAGTGAAGTAGTGTAGTTTAAACAATCTGTCTGGTTTACTACAGTGGCTAGATTAACCTGATTAAAGATATTTTTATATTACTTTCCAAATATTTTATACAAAATGTCTTTTTATTAATAAGCATGAATATTAACAAAAATGGATATATTTTTTTATTGACAGAAAAACGTAAAGGAGGGTGTGCTTGAAGCCTTGAAAAGCAGGTGTATTATTCTGTGATAATTTTCAAAGAATTGCTTTGTGGTGTAAAGTAAAGCAATCCACCCAACCCTCTGTAAAATTAAAATAAAAAGTGGAGAGCTTGTGTCATAATGTAACAAATAAGGGCCATATCCTCAAAACTACAGTATACAATTTTTTAAATTATTATAATTTCTAATACATTTATTAATTTTTAACGCATTTATTATGATCGAAAAATTTTAAAAATATGGCAGTTATAAATGTTAATATAACTTAATACTTGCATATTTCTTAATATCATCTTAAAAAAAAATATTTGAAACGTGCTAGCTATAATTCAATTTTGAAAGGCTAAAGTTCGTAGAAACATATTTAGTCTGTCGAATATTGGACAGAAACAATGGTAAAATTATACATTTTTTCAAATTTGAAACAAAAAAGCCATATCTTTTGACATTTGTGAATTTGGATGAGTATCGATAATTCAATAATGTATTTAACTATATATACAAATAAAGTCCACTTAATCACTTACGTTTGGAGTTTTCCTTATTTTTAATTATCGATTTATCATTCGATTAAATGGTTAAGGAAAAAAAAATAGCTTTGTAAGCGGAGGGAAGTGAACTTGGAAAATCATTAGAGAACCTTTCTAGTCTATAAGTGATTTTGGTATATTTTAGAAAAATAGTGTCGGTCCAAAATAATAAAGTTAAGATGATTTTGATTTGAAGTAACTATAAATGCTCTTTTTCTTTTCAGTATTTAAAATTTGATGATGCATGATTCTAGTACATATTGATCCAAATATCAAAGCATAAATTTTTAGCGTCTTTAATATTTATAAAATACAGTTTACACCCACCCACTTATATATATATATATATATATATATATATATATATATATATATATATATACTAAATCCACATTATCTCTGAAATTTCTAAGACTTATCATCTAACAAAAGACATAAAGTTAGATTTTACCTGTCATATACAAGTAATATCCCTGCCAAAATGTAGTACGAAATTAATCAGCCTAAGATTTAATCTATGCTATTTTCCAAAAATAAAACCATTCCGAGCTCCTAAAGTGAGATATTCATCAACTCCATAGAACTAGTTAACATACTTCATTACTCAAGGTCCTAGGAGAAGTATGCATATACAACTCATCAATCTACACAGATACATGAAATTGTCCTCTTAGTCCTGAGCTTCAGCTAGATAATGCATATCCAAGAGTTCATAAACATCTCCATCTAGAATGCATATACAACTCATCAATTGTATGCAATTGTTTACATGACCATGTGTTCTAGCCTAAATCAGGAACAGTGAAATGTTCCTCATCATCTTCATCTAGAACTTCAATCCTAGGCTTTTTGTAAGACATGAAGGACTTAGAAGCTTTCTGTGAGGCAACATTGCTGGTATGTGTCACTGGAAGCTGGGGAACTTCAGCAGCTGCTAAAGGTTCCTGAGGGAACTGTTCACCAAAAAGACCTGCATCTGCTAGCCATTCAAGCTCTCCAAACTCCAGAGACTGCTTCTGACCCTGAAAAAGATGAATCAGTTCCAAACATTATAACAACACAAAAGGGCAACAGCATAATTAAGTGACCACAACTCCTTACCATAATTCTCCACACAGTTTATGGTGCAAATATGATACATCATTTGTTTAAAGAAAGTCATATAAACCAGAATCAAGAGCCAGAATGTGCTACATAGAAGCAAACCTACCTTCAATGCGATGAGTCTTTTTTACATATAGAATTCAGTGCTCAATCATGTGCAAAGGAAACATTCATATACTGCAATGTGAGAATAAAACTCTAACCTCATAAACCTTAATCTCTCAATTCATCCCTCACACCAACAAACAAAAATTTGTGTGCATATGCAAGGTGAGGCAAGATTGTATGCTATTTCAAAACGGATATTTGGAGGTAACAGAAAAAAATGGTAGCTCTTAATCATACTAGATTCTTCTATCGAAATCACTCTAATTTCTTAGCTGATACATGTAACTACAGTAGTGAAACAAAGCTGCCTTACTTTGTCTGGTGACTCAAAGTCTGTTAATTCCAACAAGTCATCAACTGCCCAAGAGGATGTGAAGCTAGGCACTTGCTGAGAAGGAACTTTCACAGGAACTTCTTGTGCATTTGGATTAGATGGTTCCATGTGACCCTTTTCATTGCCTTTGGTACAATTAGAACCCAAAGCCACCCGAATACCAGTAGCAAGAAACCGCTGGTGGTTCGCAGAAAGGCTACCAGCTACATGAATTGGCTCATCACAGTCTTTACACAAGAGTGCTCTGTCCTCAACACAGAATATGAAAGCTGCCTTATCCTACAATTATATCACACATCACAGAGTTAATAAAGTTATCCATGTTCAACACCGGTTTCAAATCCTACTCATAACATTACATAAGGATGATTCTTTAACATAAATAGTCAAAGATGAATGAAGTTTTGGTAGAACGATACATCACAGATATCAGACAATTATACAGACCAGTTAGGTCTTTTCGTAAACTTAGTGCTTTAAATCACCACAAACTTTTGGCTTCAACATTCATAAAGAAATACCATAGCATTAAGACAATACAAGTTTAAATATAAAGTTTTTGGAATCAGATTCTACAATCCTTGCTCATAAATGCTTTGAAGTTTTCTGAAACACCCTCTGCCGGAATAAATTCTCATGTGCCATGACAGTAATTGACACAAGTAAAAGCATAACCATGCATGCCGAACAGATTCAATTTACTAGAACTTAGATCTGATCTTCTTTGTTACATGCATATCTGTGTTTGATGTTTAAACTGTTGCTTCTCATATGAAACAAACACACACAAAAATTTTGGGCAAAATGAAACAAATCCATCCCTCCAAGTATAACGATTTGTGAGAGTATTTGATGATATCACAAAAGTAGAAAAAGAGAAGAAATACCTGACATATGTCGCATCTGGGAAGCTTGTTTGATAAGCATTGAAGAAGAAGCCTCTGGTGCTTGCTTGCAAGCTTGTTTGCAGCATGAACTTCAACGTCACATTTGGCACACAAAACTGCTTCATCTGCGCAACAAATCACTGTTGCCGGGGCTTTCTCACACACGTCACACTGAATTTTCATGTTCTTCCTAGCAGTGTCTCTTCTCTCACTTTCTTCGGAAAATGGGGTTCAGAAAAACACCATGCCAATATCAATATCCGCACAAAACAGGAGAACCTCCACTGCAGCCACTACCTGACAAGACAAACCTTCCTATTGTATTGTGAACAGCTTTATCGGTTATAAGCCGAGAATATGAGCAATAGAATAGATCAAGCCGAAGATGAACACAAAAATGGGATCGAAAACAAAAGATAGCATTCACAGTGACAGTGCTAAGTAATTAATGTAGAGAGAAAATGTTTGGCCATGGAAAAGGAAGTGACTGGAGGAGGGTACAGTTGGTGAAAGAGTGATGCAAAGATGGAGATTTCATGAGATCTTACGTATGTGAATAATGAAGAGTGGGGTCAGCTTGACATGCGTGTGGCTGTGGAAGTTCCACATCGAATGCGTCAAGTTGGAGTTTTAGATATTCTTATGTGTGGTCCTTGTCCTACAATTGCTGACTGTGACTTACATGTTCTGCAAAATGAACAAAGGGAAATGCATCTGATTCTAATCAATACAAAATTGCTTTTTTATACTGAAATTTTGCTAAACTTTTCATAATAATGACAAAAAAATTACGTGGTTACACCTCAATTTGGAGGTGTATAAATCAACCAAGGGTGTATACTTAGTAATAACGACCATCCTCATTGATGTTGTTTTCACTTAAATCTCTGATGAAACCAAAACCACTTTTATTTTACAAAATGTTTAACACAAAAAGAAAAATGACAGAGACCACACAAAAGAAAAATGGTAGTAATAAAAGTAGGTAAGAGATAAACAAGAATAATATAGATAGTGATGGTTTGAGTTTTTAATCTTGTCCATAGTGTTGTTCTTTCTTCAACAATAATTTTTTTTTCTCTTACCATAGATATTCACTTCTATTATAAGAATAAATAGTTATAAAAAAAGAAGTAAATTTTTATATTTTTAAAAGAAAAGAAATATTATATCAAATAAATATAAAAATTTGTGTATATCAAATTTTAATTTTCTATTCTAAAAATCTAACATATCATACTGTTTTTCTTTCTTCACTTTAAATTGAACTATCTTTTGCTATGCTTGACGTCCAATCGAAACAAAAGTTTGGAATAAAAGAAATCACCCTTCACAATAGGACAAGCACCATTTTTTTTTGTTGCTAAATTATAAAAACTCATAATGTATTATAATATTTTACATCAAGTGTTTGGCAATTTTTTTCATTAAAAGCATTCTTTTTATATTCTTTTAAAGAAAAAAACATGTATTTGATCACATGTTTTATTATTTTTTTTAACATATCCTCTTGCTAAAAACATGCCACTTAACACGTTTGATGTTTTTAATTCTCTCTCACACACACACATATATATATATATATATATATATATATATATATATTGGTTAAAAAGTTCATTGTATTGAAGAAGAGTAGACACTTATTTTTTCAAATGGAAAGCAACAATACTAAGAATGAATTTGATTTTTAGGTAGTTGAAGGGAGTAATTGGAATGTGCATGTGAAGTATTGGACAATTTGATGGGACAAACTTTAGAATCTGTCATGGAGAAAATAATACTAAGAATTGTTTAATGTTTAGGTAGTTGAAGGTAGTTACTGGAATGTGCATGTGAAGTGTTGGACAATTTGATGGTACAAACTTTGAAATCTGGCATGAAAAAAATTAACGTACGAAGGTTGGTTGATTATCGATAAATGTGATTAATATTTATTATTCATATTTATTTTTATTTTAAATTTGTATTTATTTATGTATTTAGTGTTTTTCTTATTAAAAGGTGTAATGTTTTTCTATTTAGTTCAAGTTAAATGTTATTTTGTCTTTTTGTAAAGTATTGTGTAAGAAAATGAAAATATAAAAATATTTGCACAGTTAGACGGAGTAGTTAAAAACAAATCAGAAGTAGTTATTATGTGGTAAATTAAAGAGATAAGGTAGTTCCAAAGTATGAAAACATAAAAGAACTCATAATTTTGGTCAAAGGCAACTCTAAGACATTAAGACTTTGTGCAATGAATGTAATAACTCCTATTTCATTAGGATTGGACAAATAAGAGTACTTAAACTCCTATTTTATTAAAATTGGATGTAATGAACTTAAATTGATGTAAATCTTCTTGTTCAATATAATCTCATCATGTTCATATGTTCTATCTAGATTATAATTATATATCATGAAACATCATGATGTATAAAAATATCTAGTAAGTGGAAAATGAATTAGAATTTGGAGATAGATTTAATCATTCTGTTATTCTAAACACCTAATCTTAATACAAATTGTATGTTAACTTAATTAAGGAATTAACAATTTAACATATTGATTTAGACAAGTTGTTAATTAAGACTACTATATTTTAGATATAAATATAAGCAGAATATTGAGATATATTGTATAGAGTTTTTGCATTAAATCTAATTATGACGAAGACTTTTTCGAATCAAATCACAAATTTTATAATTTAATTATTTACTATATACTTTTATCATCACAAAACCAACTATAAATCTTATTGGTAAACAAACATAATTAAATAAACAAGTATAAATTCATAGAAAAAACAATACTTAAAACTTTCATTTATTTTTTATAACGAATTGATGCACTTATCAAAATATTAACAATTATTAACCTAATCTTATATTTTGAGGTTAATAAAATATATTCTTTCACACATTTATGTTTATTAGTTATCACTAACATAGGAACTAAAAGGGTTTAACTAATTTACAAATATTTTATTATCTTTGTTGTTAATTTAACGAATTTAAGTCTCAATCATATTAAAAAATCACATTAAAAAATAAAGATCACGTTACAAAAGATAAAAACATATTAAATAATTTCAATAAATATTAAGATCGAAAAGCGTAACAAAACTATAAATAAACAAGGTAGTTTATAAACTTTTAATCTTCAACTTATAACATTTTAGTAATCCCATTTATGTTTGACAAAAATCGTCTTAAACGAAGAATATATGGCCCAACTAGTTTTTGTGTTCTCTTTTTGATCCTCATATCCTTCACAAGAACCACTGCCAGGCCCATTCCTAATATTGAAGACAAACATTATGCATTAATGATAATAATATATAATAATAATTATTATTATTTATTCCAAAAAATATATCAATTTAAATTTTATATTTATTTTGTTTTATATCATTGGATCTAATTCATGTTTTAAAGAATAATATTTTCTAAACAACGAGAAAAATGTTTTCTATTTTTTGTAAAAATATTTTAAAACTTAAAAAAATTATAGACTCCTCAAATTACAAAATTGAATTCTAAACAGAAGTTTTAATGCACTGTTACATAGTTTATTTGGATTGATTGCAAGGTAGACGTTGTAAGAACAGTCATTCCCGTAATTAATAATTCGCTTGTATTAATTGTCACATGTGAAATTAAGAAATGTTACAGAAATCTATATTTTATTTTTTAACAATAAATTTATATAAAAATTGCCTTTTTTTTTACATGGTAAACAAAGAAACACACAGTTGAAAAATATACATAAAATTTAGTAGTGATGCACATTTAAAATAATTTACATTGTCAGCTGATTAATTAAAATAGCCTTAATGAGATAATTATTATGCTTCTTTCAATCTCAAATATAAAATATATTCATATTAGTAAATTTCAACTTATTTCGTTTCATTTAATAATGTAATTTTTTAAAAAGTATTTCATTTAATTAAGATTTTATTTTAATATATTTGATATGAAATGGTAAAACGTGATAATTCATAAAGATACTTTTAGTCAGTGTGATTTTTCATGTCGAATATAAAAAAATAAAGTTTATTGCATAAAATTATTTGTTCTTTTGAAGGATGGTATTAAACTATTTTTCATATTAAGAAATAATTTTTCATAAAATATAAAAGACAGCTACCGTCGTATGATGTAACTTAGAAAAAAAAAAAACATTATATGATTCAGAAAACGCAGGCCATAGAAGGATTCAACCAGAATCGTCTAGTACCTCAATCAAGGTGAGAATTATTCTGAACCCTCTGTCTGCATTTCTCTCATCACCAGACCCCTTTTCCTTCATTCAATCTGAATGCAAGAATCCCACAACTGTTTCGCATAATTCAACTTCTTCAGCGTTGTTTATGAACTCCCTCAACTTAAAGACTCTATCTTTCTGGCCCTGTTCTAGTGCAATCGCTTCAGGAAGGTTTCTGTTCCGTGATGGGGAATAGCTGCGCGATTTTTCATTTGGTGGGTTTCATTAATTTCTGAGATTTCCTGGAAATTGAAAAAAAAAAAAAAACCCTTGGATTTGGGAGCTTTGGATTGAGTAGGCTGTGTTGTGTTGTTTGATTGTGGCACTAAAAGGGATTCTGAGAAATGGGGAAGCCTTTGTTTTATGAGATCTTGGAAAAACCTGCCACGAGTTGTATCATAGGATTATGCAGCATGATTTGGTTCTATATACAGAAGAAAAATATTGGGTATTCACACGTGGGTCTGAGTTATGAGACGGCAGTGGAAGGGCATTATTGGAGGATAATTACTTCTGCTTTTTCTCATATTAGTGTTATTCATCTTGTTTTTAATATGAGTGCATTATGGAGTCTTGGAGTGGTAGAACAGCTTGGGCACTTAGGCCTTGGTATTGAGTACTACTTGCAGTACACACTTGTGTTGGTTATTGTATCAGGAGTGCTAGTTTTGGCAATGTATCATTTGTTGATTCAGAGATTCAAGCTTGAGTATTTTCGTCGAGTGACAGCTGTTGGGTATTCCTGTGTTGTTTTTGGGTGGATGACAATTCTGTCTGTAAAGCAACCATCTTCCAAGTTGGATCTCTTTGGGTTTCTTTCTCTCCCTATCAGTTTTGCGCCGTTTGAATCTCTTATTTTCACTTCGATCATCGTTCCTCAGGCAAGTTTTCTTGGCCATTTGTCAGGGATTGTTGTTGGATATGCTATAGCATGGGGTTTGATTCATGGGATGAGCAATTACTGGGCACTCTCCTTGTTGGGATGGATTCTGCTTGTCTTTGTTTTTAGTTTGAAGAGATCTGGTGCTCTTGATCTAAGCTTTCTTGAGATTGAGTCTGTTACCGATCCTTCCTTGCCTTCTGTGCGGTTTTTGGCATCAAGCACTGGCAGAACACTTCAGATGAGTGCTTTGCCAAATGGAAATGTTGATATTGTCTAATGTTGAAGTCATATATCTTGTGATATCAGATGTTGCCTTGACACAATCTACATTGATAGCAATGCAATTCTAATTCTTCCAATATAGAATTTGTTTAAAGATTCACCAATATCCCTTTTCAGAGTTTTCATCTTTAGATTTTGTGATAATGATTGTTCTCTGATGCTGTATATTCGTCTGTTGAAGTGATACTGGTCGTTGCAAATCTGCTGCTACTGTTTGCCCTCTGATTAGTTTGTTTGCTCGTGGACGATACCAGTTGAATATGATTCTATTGTGCTCATGAACGATACAAACATATTAGTATATATTATTACCATTTTACGTGATAAGTAGAAATTAGTGACTAATTTTATGGAATTGAAGTTGAAGTTAGTTCTACACTGCCTGTATGATCAGTGATCACTAGATGATCTGGTTTGGTTTTTCGTGATTTCTGCTGTTTAACCACACAACCTTAACGGTAGAATGATAGTTTATATATGCTAGAGAATTTAATATTCATCTTTATACAGTCGTTTAACCTGGTACTTTATTCATGCATACTTTCAAAGCTTATTGTTGATGTTATATCTAGTGGTGACCATTGAGTAAATTATCACATTGGTAGCCCAGGGTCCTCCAATATGGTTCTCTGTAGGGTAAACAATCCTCAATTTAGGATTCAAACTGGTACCCCTAGGTATATCAATAAATTAAATTGATGTTATTTGTAAATATTGAGAAACTACACTAACCATATTTTAGGATTCTTAAAATTATACAAACGTCCCCTGTTCTTATCTCTGCACTTACTTCCTTTTATTGTTTAAAACATATTACATCAGGCATTCTTTTTTACATAACACTAACCTTAAGTGTTTGAAAAATATTAGAGTAAATCTTACAAAGCAGGTTACTGGAAATGTCAGAAAAGCAGACATTTGTGTAACTTCACAAAATTTCAACTGTGGTCGTGCATTTTACTATTAAATATTTGAAAGACCAATTTGAGTATTTACACTTAACCTTTGTACATCCGTATTGAGCTCCTGTAGTTATTTTATCTAACTTGACTGACAGTATAGCACAAATGGCAGTGTTTATTTTGTAAATGAAAATTTACTGTTTGTAAGAGTGAAACTTCCTAGTAGAAGGGTTACAATAAGCTGTGCTGGTGTTTGATTGAGTTTTGGACAGCTCTAATTTTATGTATATGATAGTTAGCAATCTGCGATTTGCCTTCACGAAAAGTATTAAGCTAGCATGGAGATTAATAATTTGTTTGTTTTAGAATTATATATAGTTGATTTTAACAGGATTAATTGAACTATTGAGCATGATTGTGATGTGATAAAATCAATCTTCAGTCACAGTTACATCGAAAGGTGCATTTTTCACTGGAAAAAAAAAATGTGAGAATTAATTTTACAATATCAAACAAATAGGTGCTAAAATAGAAGTAACTGTTTTGGCACCAAAATAACATTTCTCTGTATTAAAGTTATTTTGCTGCACAAATCAATTGCTAATATTGTCTAATTCAATAAAGCTCCTTATAGTATATTAATTTAGGCACAAATACATGAATGTGATTTAAGTGTTTCTTGGAATATAAGATGCTCAAAGTGAGGAATATATGAGCGGAGAATGTAATATGTAATTGACTGATAAGCAGATCCAATGATTAGAAAATAGGATTTGCTCATTGCGCAGTTTTCTGTTACTGCCTTTCCTCTCGGCATATCCCCACCTTTCAACTGGTAAAAAATTGTAGGATTGACAACAATTTATATCAACTGGCCTCTTTAATATGAGATCAAATGGCTTTAGGTTATACATGTACCAGATAGAAGATGCTAGATCCAGGTTGCAGAGTTCCACTTTCTACCTTGTTTTAGGCGTCAAATACAACTGAATTGAAAAGTGTAAAAACCACAAATTAAAGAAAATGTATAGCTAAAATACTTTAGGGAACCTAAATTTCAATAAACAAGGAAGAACTGGACAACATACATTGTCATATCAGTTTGTGTGAAAGTTCTAAAGGCTATTCTAACTTTTAGCAGTCACAAGCACCAACTCTACGTCAAGAAAAAATGTAAAGAGAACAGCCACCTGAAATGGACATTCCTTTCCCTTGAATATCTCTTGGTTTATATCCGTGGACAAAACCATAATACAAAAATATTAAAAATACAGAAAACATGGTCAAGCTATTGCCCGCTTTTCTGAACCAATTAATCACAACTTACTATCCTCAAGTTCTATTGACGTGATTCACTTTAGAGTTGAAGTCAGATTTAAATTAAGAAAAGAAAGACAGCATACTACAATCAAGATTACTAACACTAACACAGAACGCATTACTGTTTTTATAAAACAAGCTGACCAAGAAACATCATAATATTTAATAACATACAAGCAAAATAATAAGTAAAGCAGAAAACTGGGCCATAAAAAGAGAATTCTAGAAAGAAAACTGTTGGGATTGAATGTAATCGACCAACTATTCTGTATTGGATCTGATCTCTCTCTCTCTCTCTCTCTCTCTCTATATATATATATATATTTGATTAATCTCTACTCAGAAACAGAATTAGTTTTCATTTCTTTCCTCTCCCTTCTCTTGCCCCTCTTACAAAGGTATGTGTGAACCAAAAGAGAGGAAAGTAACGGGCTAGTGGTTGGAGGCACAAATAACAAACAGTTGAATTTACTACTTAAAATATATTCAGATAAGTAAAACTGTGCTCTCAAGGATACTGATTAGAGTGCTCATTTTCTCTCAACCTTTCCTTATTAAGGGAAACATTAATGAAAAAAAGAGGTTTTGTGGGAAGTTGACAAGCACAAGTCCGTAAGCTAAAGAGAATATTATGAGGGTTAACTCAATGTACAAAGCATCAATAATAATATTAAAAGGTGATCTCTACTCCAAAAACTCACCATTTTTTGAAGTCAGTAGTTTTTTTGATCTACAGTTTTAGTATTTTGTGCGGCCGAGGTAGAGTCATTTTCTTGTGAACCTGGAAGAAGAATCTGCCCTATTGACTTCCACAATCTTTTAGATAAAGATCTTTGTAAACTACCAGTGCTCGAAACAGATGATGGCTCAACTTGTCTAGCTGAAGCAGGATTGAGGTTAGACAACCTGAATGCACCCAAGAGTTTTTCTGGAAGCTCTGATTCAACTTGGCTCTCAATAAGGAAAGCCAGATCAATAGTCAAAGTTGTCACATAACCAAATGCCAAATGAACTATAGCAGTTGCTACCATGGAAGACCCAATATCAATATCTACTTCTATGTAATTATCTGCCACACAAAATTTACAGGAAAGGGCTCGACCAATCAGGCATATTGCTTGCTCCCCAACCGCTTTTTTCACAATCCAAGGACCATTGACAATGTTGGCAATCATCTTAAGCCTTGAGTTTCTGAAATCATCATCTCCTTTCAAGAACTTTTCGATCAAAGAGTCCCCAGTAATAGGCTCTATGTTGGTAAAATATGCCACCACACTGTAATTATCCTTGGTTGGGAGTTGCATATTGAAGGCCCACACAAAAGGTTTATCACCAGCTGGAAACTCATTATCAATGACCTTCCTAACTCTACTATTTGAATGCTTCAATATCTCGCCCGTTTTCACCGAACTTTTAATCCAATCAAGTCCAATAGGCTTGAGCAGATAATCACCGGCAGGAATCTTAACCTTTGTCTTAAAATACTCAGGACCTCTAACCTTGAATGCAGCTCCAGGAGGTAAAGCCCAACCATTTGAACAGTTATTTGGATCAAGAAGTGGAATGGATCCTTCAGATTTTATTCTATCTATCCATTCAGATTTCTTTGGATCACCAGGCCCGGCCATAATGTTTACTGCTTCCAAGTAATATACAATACAAACTTACACTCTGCAACATAAAATACAAGGTATATGATGTATTTGTACGTCAGCAGTCATAAGAAACTGCAATATACATGCATAGAGTAAAATAGATATTCATTCCATATTGGCTGATGACCAGAAACAAAGAAGTGGATCACCTAGAAAGCTTAACACCGACAGTCATGACGGAACTTCCTGAATATTTTACTTACCTATTTAGATACCGTTGAAAATCATGTCTTTCTTCAAACTTGTACGTGGTATAAGTAGAATAAATTGAACTGTAGGAACCTCTTAAACTTTTGGGGGATGAACCCACGATTGGACGAAAGGTAAAGATTAATCTTTTAAATAATTGAGAAGCATTTAAGAGACTAACTTCTTCCGATAAATATTTTCCATATACATAAACTTGAAGATCAAACTCTTGACAAACATGCTTAAGGAGAAAGGCTATTTGTTAACCTTTTAACTTTTTCTGCAGTAAAACGTTGCATCTTCAATGCAAGCTGAGTCTATTTCCTCTTTCCACACACACATATATGTATGTATATATACATATATACACACAAAGAAGGCATTGATTATCACACTGTTTCCATATTTCCATCACCATCATCCACATGATAGCAATGATTGAATTGAGATAATTTTATGATCATGGCACATATACATCTTAGAGTTGAGTAGAATTTGTGAATAAAATTATTCTAGAAATCATGAGGACTCCTATGATTGAATGTAGAGTAAACATGTGAAGTTTGATACGAAGTCTTGCTATAAGTGCAATCTCAGAAGAACCCACTTTTTAGAACTTCGTTAGCTTCAGCAACACCCAGATAGATATGATTTATTTAACGAAATATATGGAAATCCAGCTATAGATTATGACATTAGCCTGTAATTAGGTGGTTTATGAAGAAAGTGAAACCAATGCCGATACTTTTTCGAGCATGTAAAGAATGAATACATTTATGAATCATGTACGTATATTCCAAATTCGGATATTTAGAAATGCAAACCTGTATATCAAAACGCAGAAGATTTGTGAACCATGAGGAGCCTCTGCAGAAGCTAATTACATCTCAATTGAGATCTGAAATTAGGGTTTTGTGATGCAAATTTAGCATATATCTGCTTCAGGTATGAGGATCAGGAATACCTAAGAAAGAAAAGTTTTCCTATGGTGAAAGTTACTTATATTCTTTTGCTTTCTTCCATTCTATTTAACTTTTACGTATTATCATTGCCATTATTATTATTACTATTATTACTATTAAGGGTTAAATTTTATGTTATAATTTTTATTTTTACTTTATTAGATTTTATATCTGAACTCACGACTTTAAAATTTTGCTTGCGTTAATTAATTATCTTTAAAATATTCTACAAAAGTATTTTAATATGAAAATAGTTTACGATAATTTAAACTTCACTCCTCCTATTTTAAATTTGAAGAATATTTTTATTATCCAAGACTTTGTTTCCCATTTGATATCCGGATCGGTAATATGATTATTTGGATTCTACATTATACATTATTATAATCAACTATCATAAAATCATTTTATAAATCAATTATTTCAAATTTTAAAAGCTCAATTTTGATTTTTAAAGTTAAATATTTTAAATAATTATAGTAACTACGATAATTACCACTTAATATTTAATTAGTAATTTGTTCTTTAAAAGCTTATGTATTTATAATTACGATGCAAATTTATTTTACATCCACCTATTAGAAATCTGTTAACGTGTTCATTTGTATGTTACTAATAACTTAAGATTAAATACTGTTTATTGCTTGCTTTTTCTCATTTGGTTTTGAAAAATAATGACAAGTTTCCATCATAATTTCCATATATATATATATATATATATATATATATATATATATATATATATATATATATATATATATATATATATATATATATGTATGTATATATAAGTTTAAGGATGATAATAGGAAATTATCTACTGCAAAATCAAACAGATAGTAAAAAAATGAATAAAAAAACTTCGTTTTAAGCATCTGCATGTTACATGAGAGAATGTTATATCCAATTTAAATAATGTAGTTAATAACTAAATAATGCTGATAATGTTTGTTTTGTTTTTTGTAAAATTTAAATTATTATATTTTTACTATGTAACATTTGTTTTTTATTTTTGTAACAATAGTATAAATATGATGGTTTTAGTCACAATAATGATGTTAAATGAATACACTGAACACAATAAAATATTAAAAGAATTGGTTATTCGTACAATGGTTGATTTTTACATTCAACAAAATTAATTATATGAAATGTTATATAGATTATAGATTATCAAAATAAAACTTCAATTTGGATAAATATCAATAAAAGTGACTATTAAATCGTATATAAATGTTACCCTATTTATCAATCTGACACTAAACAGGACACTTGTGCAGGCATATACGTAGGGTAAAGCAATAGAAAGAAGGTTCAATAAACATAAATCCGCCCCGCAGATCCAACCAAGGGTACCAAAGAATTTTACAGTGAACAATTCTGAATCTCTAACTGGGACCATCTCATGAGTAAGAAATATAATATGACTGTGACCTACACAAACTCTAAAAACACAAGACAGGTTAAATAAAAATGTGATGAAGAGAAGGCAACTTGTAGTCTCTATAATCCTCGGTTGTGAATCCTTATTCAAGCACCACATTTGTTGATGTTACAGTACCTGTTGCTGTTGTTTGTTGTTGCTGTTGTTGCTGATGTAGTTGATGCTGAAGTTGTTGTTGTTGCTGAAATTGTTGTTGCTGCTGCTGAAGTTGATGCTGCTGCTGCTGCTTCTGGGATTGAATTTGAAGTTGTTGAAACTTTTGTGCAGCCAAAAGAGTGTACATGGCGTGATTATTGGGATAGAATTGTTGCCCACCACCAAATGAAGCAAAGTGTCCTCCATTTGAAATGGCTTGTCCAGTCATTAATGTCAAATGCTGAATTTCTTCTTTTAATGCATCATTTAATGCTGTAGGCCGTAGAAAAAGCCAGGAATTAATTCTTGTAACAGAGAAAATCAGGATAAACTCTCCATGGACAGTAAATTTGAATTTTATTGTTTCAATACTAAAATAGATATTAACAGAAATTATGAAATCACATTTTCAACCAGAAGAGCAAGTTTCAGATGCACGCAAGAAAACAACCAGTCAACCAACAAAATTTATCTTACCAGCAAACATTACACAAGGGAGGCTTTATCTTAAGACTTACGCATTAATTCCAAGGACAGTCTTACTGATGTCACAAAAATAAAAAGCACAAACCTAAATTTAAGGTGAAAAAACAAAATACTTCATCAACTTAAATAATAAATCAAAAATGCTAGTAGAAATACGCAAACGTAGACCATAATCCGTTTTAGAATTTCCTTTAACCGTTTTGAAATAAATTAGAAATTCAATTTAATTTAACCACAGTTTTAACACTGTTAATTACCTTCAAACTTCTACACATGCTACGGAGCAATCCCACCAAAAAACAGGAAAGTTGATCAATGATTTGGCTCAGCATAAAAAATCAAGGTAAAATTACTATATATCAACAAAGGTCGCAAGTCGTATAGTAGCTTACAATGTTTGCCAATATTTTTTTTAATCTAAAATTAGAAAAACAGGAGAAGAAAAAGATAGAGCAATAATCTAAAAAGCTTATAACAGTACGGCCTTACCATCTTGCAAGTGAACCTGTTGCTCCATGGTTTGCAACCGCAACTTCAACTCACCGTTCTCAGCATTCAGTCCGTTTGTATCTCTCTGCTCGTAAAGAGGCAAAAATACATTGATTATAATTCCTACTATTTGTTTTCAATCAGAAAGACATGGTAGCCGTCTGAAGGTTAAATATTTCTAAATAGCTGTCAGACGTTGCCATAAGTGGAATAGAAACGTACACAACATAAGATGAAGACGAAATAGGGAATACCTGCAAGAGAGTTAATTGTGCAGACAAGGATGTTGCGTCTGTTTGCAATGTCTGCACTTTCCTTTCAAGCTCAGAAATGTAACGCATCTTCCTTTCTTTTGATCTTGCAGCAGACTGTCGGTTTGCCCATATCCTATCACACTCATAAGGAGTATAAGTCATGGTTTTAAGTTTTTTTTTTTTACCTTTAATAAAAAGATTCATGGAAAGTGTTTTAAGTCAAGAAAAAATCACAGTATTCCCACTAATTTTAAAATGTAGGTGAAAATTTGAGAACAAAGGGGGACAATAGTCCCCAATAGAAAAGGAATACAGAAATGTCACATATTGGAATGCTGATTTAGATTTACTAAAATAGAAAGGTGGACATGGTTCCTGCTCAGAAGAGCAAAAATGTACTCAACTTATTCCATAATATACATCAGCGACCCCACGCAAGGTAGAAAGATTAATGAAATGACAATGAAAAATAACAAAAAGCCATGCCTGATACTTTATTTCACAACGTAACCCTAAGAGAACTTCCAAAACCAATATTAATTCGCAACCCATACAGGTAAGTAAGCACAGTGGCAGATACCACTAAATTCAACAATGTAAATCACAATTTCAATTTAACAAAGTAATTGCTGCGCAACATGAAGCAAAAACATGGCTATTAGTTGATCTTAACTAATAACCTACAGACAAACCACGTAATTTCACCTACAGTGCCAAACAGCCCATAGCTTTATAGACTCTAAAGCAATCAAAGCAACATAAACAAGTCTAGCAATCACGAGGCGCAAATATCATGCAGAAAACCTAAAGGTCACGACCAGAGAGGATTACTTTTTATATTTCTGTATAAAATCAATTCAGAAACAAACACTCGGTAAGAAAATTACGGCAGTTCCCATGTTGGACTAAAGCTGATGGAAAAAACCAAGGAATTGTCTTGTCCATGAACAATATGAGCCCATGAAGCACGGACAATGGTGTGTCCCTATGTGTCAGATTTAAGCGTACAACTTCAAAACTGTTTTTTTTTATTACTTGGACATGGCTGTGACAAATGTTAATGAGCGAAGAGGTAATTTTTTTAGTAGCTGAGTGGATACTATATTCAAGAATATATATTATTAGGAATGTTTTAATTTAATTTTTGTATCATAGATATCAAATCTCTTCTATTTATTGTATTGACTTCATTTTCTCAATATAAATACATTTACTTTGTCTCAAAAACATATGGTTTGAACTCAATGTCTCTGTTTCTTAGACTTCAAGAGTTTCTCCATTTCATCTTTCAACAAAACTATTTATTTTGCATTTAATTTTTCTTTTTCCTGCAATTCTTTAGTTTTCTCTGCTCTTAATGAAAAAATAACCCTTCTTGGCTCTCAAATTGACGGCATCTCTAACCACCGCCATCTATGCCTTGTTAGTCTCCTTTGCACTTCCCCACCATTGCATGTTTCTCAATTCTTGACAACACGATGAAACCTACCACTAAAGTTTGTGTAGGAAGTACTATTATGAATACAGTGAACTTTGACGCTTCCTTAATCATTTTTACTCAAAACATAATATGAAATTTCTATTTTTGTTGTAGTGAAACACATTTTCTTTTTTGTTGATGTTCTTGGCGCTGTGTATACTTTTATACTATGTATAAATTTATATTTTCTCTCCCTAGCTAATATTATGTAATACTCTTTATGCTATGCGTGGGTGGATCAAATGTTTATGGTACGCTCTTTTCTTTATTTTTCATTAATTTAATGTATTGTGTTTGTTTTTATTTTGTTTGACATTGTGGTAGAGTTGAGTATTCTAAATCCTAGTTCTAGTCAAGCCAAAGAACCAGATGATAATACTGAACGTCTACGGAAATATCCTACGAAGATAAGAAGTGTATGTTGTTCTTGAGGTGGAAAATATGAAATTAAATGCAAACTTTATGAAACTTTTGCTGGACCTAGACCGAAGGCACACTTATTGAAGATTTCGAGAAAAGGGAGTTAGAGTTTGTCAAAAGTAACAAATGTCAAACTTGAAGAATTTAAGAAGATCGACAATGAGACCAATTAGACAACGTTAAAGAAGATAAGTCAAAAACAGACTCTCATTAATTAATGCTGTGTCGAAGCCGAAAAAACAGTTTTTAAATTCGCGCCATTGAATATATGTATCCTTGCTCCATAGATATAAACAACGCCACCTAATTCTAATCCCTTTTGAGAATCAGTTTTTTCTTTTTGTCCATTCAAAATTATTTTTTTTGCATGAGACTACAAATGTCCCCTAACAGAAGAAAAACCAGTTAAAGCCTGATAGAACTATTTCAGAGAAGTTGTATATTGTCAATTATTCACTTACATTACCTACACCTAAACTTTCGCTATTTGACTGACATCAAATAAAGATAGAGAGAAAGGAGAAGAAGAGTAAAGGAGTACCTTTTAGCCCGCTTGGGATCAATTAAGGCAAGCTCAGCAAGCTTGTCAGTCGACATAGCCCTTTTGGTATCCACGCCGGACACGTCATCGGCACCGGAGACCAGCATCTCCGGCTGGATGGACAAATCCATGGAATGGCTATGCTGGTGTCTAACCCTCGGCCTTTCGTTACCAACGTTGTTATCGTGATTGTTGCTGCTGTAATCGTTGTTGTTGACGATGATTTTGTTGTCATCTTCAGGCAACGGAGGGGAGTTAAAATGATCCACGAGGGCGAGGAAGTCGTCATCGAGGGGGAGATCAGTGTCGAAGGTGAGGTCATCGGGAAGGGTGATAATCTCGGAATGGGCGCGTCTATGGCCCCTGTTTTTGATTGGATTATCGGGCATTCCGACGATGTCATGGCTGAAAGGTTGGGATGAGGAAGACGAAGGTGGCAGAGGAGGGGATTTGTTGTCTTTGTCTCTTTCCATTACCCTACACAACACTACACTACAATTCCAACTAAATCAAATTCAATAACAACAATGGAAACATTGAACATTTGATTCATGGATTAATCGATTGCTGAATCACGAATAACTAACATTGGTGAAGATGAAATTGAAAGGAAATGATGATTGCATTGTATGTATGGTAGTACCTTTGGATTTGATGGAAGATGAAGCGGAAGAATGTTACGTTAGATCAGAGATGCAACAACAATTGCTAACACCTTTTCCATTTCACATCACATCACATGCGAAAACCATAACACTATTCAATCAGATTGGATCATATCACGCACACATCACAACGCTCATAACAGAAAAGATAGAGAGAGAGAGAGAGAGGAGTGAGAAAACTCAACCGAAATCCTATCAGAGATTGCAGGTTCTGTGTTAGCACAAACTACACACCAGACCTTCTCTCATTCTTTCTCTCCTTCTCTTTTTATATCCTTTTTTTTTCTTCTATTCAATGTTATTGTCTTTTCAGATATCAACAAAATTATTATTTTTTAAATAACTATATCATTCAAAATAAAGTAATAAACTATTATATAATATTGATATTTGGTCCTCTAAATTTCAAGTCCTGTGGGGGTGGTCAAACCTCAGAAATATTTTAGTATTATTTGATACTCTAAACGCTTAACAGTAATGAGATTAAATTAAATTAAAATAAGGTATAATTTCTACTTCATTTACTGTTTTCTTTTTTTGCTGGAATAATTAAATATTTATTACATGTTTGGAAATAAAAATTAATAAATACTTAATGCTTTTACAAAAGTTATATTCACACAGTTCCTTTCTAATCATACAAGTGTTTGATGGAATAGTTTAAGTGAAGTAGTATTATTATATCAGCAACATATATTCTACACATTAAATATTAAATATACGACAAATTCTACACATTAAATACTGCCACTTTAGTATATTTATACACTGATTAGTTTTAATATTTAAAACTAAGAGCATTATTCTTATATACTCTAAAGTAAACGATCACTTTAAACATTTATTTTAATTATCACCATAGTTAGAATATGGACAGAAAAATTGTTATTCAACCGAGACTCACTGTGTACGATAATATTGTGATAGTTTACTTTCTTTACATATTAAATAAACTACCTATTAAATATAATTGATATAATAGTAGAAAAGATAAAATTGAAATACGTGTAATTATATATTAATATAGTCAATGAGTTTAACTTCGAATGAAAAATCAATTATTGTAAGAATATCATCAACATTACATCTTCAAATTAAATAATAATATATAACTTTAGAAAACAAGACCGGGTTCAATTAAAAAACCGAATTCGTGTCCAGTCTACGGTAAAAAAATGCGTGTGAATTCACAACCGTTGAAAAAGGTTTTTCCTTAAAAAAATATTTAGATGTAATTTAGATTTTTTTTCTCTCAAAAATAAAAAAGTAAAATATCTGTAATTTAAAAAAATTACATACTATTTTCAAAGAATATTATTGTACATTGTTAAGCTTTAATGATATAGTTTTTATAATTAAAGGTTGAACAAACAGTTTAAGCAGTGAATCTTAAGCCAAGGGTTTACGAAGCACTTACAGAGAATAAATATAAATATAATAATACATTATACATCAACTTTGTTTTGTTTTTCTTTTAGGTAGAACTAGAATAATAAAACTTTCACTTTTGAAATCAAAAAGCAGATTGATGAATCTGATTCTCTGACATTCCTTTGCTTTAACAATCACCATCCTTCACATCACAATAGATTATAATTACATTACTAAATATGTATATCATATATATACAGTGAATGGAGGGTAAAAAGTGAACTGATAAAGTCAATAACGCAAGAAATCCAATATAACTACACTAAGATTTAAATAGAGATAGGTTATATATATAGGGAAATAGTGCAAGTCCAACTTAGAAGAATAAAAACTCAACAACCAAGCCACTCACTAGAGTGACAAATTGTGCACAAACGGTAGCTGCAATTGCCATCAGAGATGCTTCATTCCTATTCAGAATCAAAAATCAGAAAATGTAGTCTGGCAGCTGGAGAGGGAATTGTGCCACTGTAGCTAGAAAAGGGTCTCCTTTTGGGTATGCCAAGCTGAAATCAGAGAAAAAAATGACAATGGCTAGCTCACAGACTAAAACAATTGAATGTAATTCCTTTGAAGTGAGTGAGTCAAATGCATGGTTTTGTTGCTTGCTGTGAATCAAGGCATAATATGGAAAACTTAACGTTTGGATGATGAATGTGGTTTAAGCTAGCAAAGATGAATGTATGCAAATAGTACTAAGTAGAGAAGTAGATGCCATTGTGGATTGGATGACACATGACAGACCTCAGTTTTGTGGAGCATTTCATGGTACTCTACCTCGCTCATCATGCACAGCATACCAATCACTGGGAATATATTCTCTCAAGTTTTATAATTGTAATGATCTCACCCTTTATTCTTTAAAACCACAACTTTGAGAGAGAAATATATTATACTGATAAATATAACTGCAGAGGATCCATTCCCTCGCTTAGACTTTCTGAACTCCCTAAATCACCTCACTTAGACTTTATACTTGAGATAAGTATAAAGTTTGTGTGTATTTTATGTACATGAAAAAAAAAAGGTTCAACTAAACTAGTTACTTGAAATTTGCTCAAACAATTCACATATTCCTACATTGTCCAACTAATAATGGATGACCAAATATCTTGTCGCAAACAGTAATTAAAATAACAAATGCATACCTGCCAGGTATAAATGTAAAAGAGCCTTCAATGGAACCTGACGGCGTTGGTAGAGGAGTGCAACTCTGATAAACAAATTCTTGTCCCCCAGGATGCAAAAGTGGATACTGCAGGGAGATTCACAATTCAGTAATTTGAAACTTTGACCACTTTATTTACCAATGTTATTTGGACTTAAGAAAATGAAGACAATTTTCTTTGTTTTCCAAGAAAAATATAGTTTAAAGACATTCTTCCAAGTTCCAAAATACGAATTATGAACCTTTATTACTTTTGGAAATGGAAACCACTAAATCAATTCAATTTTATGAGGTTTGCATAGTTGGCCTAAGGAAGACTCTATCTGCTCGAAAAATATAAAGTAAAATACAAGCTTAACTAAGCTAGGCTCGTCAATCAGATGCACTCGATCAATATATGCAACAAAAATCAAAACCACTAAACTTCGGCCACATATATTCGCTCATAGAAAGGCAATGGCAGCGTGTCATTATGCAGTTTTTGGAAACTTCCATAATTGATTCACAACTGAAAAGGAATTTCTTGATGTAAAAATTCAACAAACCAAAACACTTGTGGAACAACTGGATCAGAATCAATTAATTTAGATGAGTGAGACCTTGATCGGCTGTTCAATCCAAATTTTGACTCTGATATGTGTAAATCCAAGTGAAGTCAATGCACCTAAGGCCTAGGCACTGAAGAGCTACTCACTTCTCACAGCTACTATCTCATCCGGAATTTCAAAACTATGAATTCAATTTTAAAAGATCTATCTCCAGCAGCCAAGACATGAAATAGTCTAAAATGAATATTTACTAATATCATTACTTCAATAGAATAAAAATAATTGCACAGAAAAAGAAAAGGAAATTAAGGGGAAATTTCGGGAACTTATACCTGTCCTATAACAGCTTCTCCATTGAAATCCGATACAACATCATCATTAGCACGGATGATCCAGCGCCTCCAATGGAGTTGACAAGAGTTGAAGGACATTCCATTAATCAAACATCCTTGCGGTTCAAGGGACAAGCGGATCGAATAAGCAAATAAGTACTTTTCACTGTCATCTTGAGGATCAACAAACTCAGGGATAATCAATGCAGACGAGCGAACCTTAAGAAAAAAACAACACTTGTAAGTTTCCAATGAGAAAATTATACGCTGGAACTAAGAAATACTTGCCAAAATTTCAGTAGCGATGAAAATACGTGAACTGGAATATCCCATGCAACATCAATGAGCAGAAGTAATCATTCTCTTCCTTGATGCATAAAGACAAAAAAAAGAAAAAAGGAGCTCCAGATGCAAACCAAGAAAATCTATCCTGATATATATTGTAATTATAAATATCCAAACCTCAGGAAGGCACAAGACAATCTGATTACGATATATATTCCCTGTAACCACAATATGCCTCTGCCAAATACATCAACGACTACAATAGCACTAATGTTTTCTGTGCCATAAGATACAATGTAAATAAAGCAAGCATAGAGAGCGTTATACTGGCTTTTACCTTCACACCATTAGTAACAGCTGTTGAACAAAAAGGGGGTTCTTCTGGGAAAAGATTAATGCTTCGGCCATATTCATTTTCACAAAGTTTGATGAAGCCATGTTCTAAACGGCGACCATGTTCTTCTAACCACAGTAGCATGGCATCTTGTTGCTCTTCACCATTCGATTCCTGATGTAAACTTATCAGATCTTGAGGTACACAAGGGATTATGTCTTTTTCAGAACGAAGTTTATTGGTTTCAACATATAGTTGACCGTTGGAACAATTGAGGAAAAACAATTTTCTACGGAGTGTGGAGGAAGCAGCCACAAGAACAAACTTGGATGTTCTTAAAAAGCTCAAGTGACGCCTAATCTGCTGAGTTTCTTGGATTATCTGATGTATAGGCAATAGGTAAACATTCACCAGATGATTATAGAAGGAGTAACCCCCAATTAGACCCAAAGAACTACCAAATGTACTAGTTTCTAGATTTGCTTTTACGATTTCTTGCCCATTATGGAAGCGATAAAGGATCCTCGTAGGAAGTGGCAAGTCCACCTTTAACAAATTCTCCAACATCTGAATATCAGCTTCAGTTGCCCCTTTACCAAGTGTAGCCTCAGCTTCAGGAAAATTATTGGTCAACCAGGTTTTTATCCTATCCCAGCACCTTTTCACACGCATAACAAGAGACCAAGGATACATTCCAAAAGCTTTTCTCCATTCTTGATAACATTCCTGCGTAACACATAGACAGTCTGATTTCTAGATGTACCAAAAAGATTATTTGAACTTTACCACACACAAGCCATATATCATCAAGAATCTTGAGCAACACAGAATCCATCATCCTCAACATGAAAGAAAGAGAACGATGCCCACTTTACATAAATAAACATAGCAGATCCGAGAACCAGCAAACAGGAAAGTCAGAAGTTAGTTTCATAAGTAGTGTCCACCAAGCTTGCAAGAAGTAAGTACACTAAATTCACAATTTGACTGGTTTAAAAAATATGGAAAGAAATGGAGGGGCCAAACCGAATATCATATCACCATGTATCATTGTTTTCATTTCTTTAAAATGAGGAAAGCACAGAATGGAGCATGAGTCAGTCTATTCCACCAAAAGAACAGCTAGTACAAGACTCTATCATTCTACCCCAACATCACATCCTTGTCACTTCCACCCCACACGGCATTAGATATAAACCAAACCACCACAAGATAAACATGTTTTTAACCTCAGAAGCAAGTTCACCCTGTTTGGCAATTGGACCAAGTCAACACAACAAAGTCATTTTTCAACACACAAGAGAGAACAACAACAAGGACATAAAAAAGAAACACCCAATGGTGTGCCTGAAATTGGAAGACACAGAAACAAAACAAACTCTGACAAAGAGACAACTTCATTAGTTGACCCTAAAGCGAAACCAACCAATGACAAATGAAGGTGTGTTTTCAATACATTTATTTCCACAAGATAATTATCACCCAAAACCAGAGGCTCATGAAAAATGAAAGAAAATTAAAAAAAGGTGCGACCTTGAAAGAAGGGAAAGGGTTTCCAAGATGATCGATGGGTCGGGTCAAAGCGAGTTCATTGAAGCAGAGATTGATCCAAAGAGTGTCATCGGATGCAAAAGACCTAAGCCTTTTGCTGGCACAGGCAACACTGGCAATGTCTGCGGCTTCTAACTTCCTTAGTATTGCGTTAATGGCTAAATCTCCCACCGATTCCAACCCCATGGTTAGGCTTTCTCGATCTTACTCTCTCAACAACAGAATAAATTTGTTCCAAACTAGAACGTTTAAAAAAAAATTATTTCACAGATGCATAGTATTCACATTATAACTTTATTTTAGTTCATTATCTTCATATCAAAACATTGAAGTGATGAGAAATTTGTTTATTTTATTTTATTTTTTATAAATTTTATACAAACTATTAAAAAATAATTAAATAATTAATATATTTTTATTATGAATAAATTTATAAATATATATAGATATAGACACACACACAGACAACACGTTTCAAACATTATTGTCTCGTTTGTTTTTTAATTTGAATTTGTGATTTTTCGTGTATTTTTTAATAGTTTAAATTAGGCTTAATATCCTATTTTGTCCTCGAAAATGTCAAATTAGTCCATCCTTTAAAAAATGTGTCAATTACGTCCTCACTTAATAAAATTTGTATCAATGAAATCCCTTCCGTTAAATCCGTACAAACGGCGTTACTTAATAAGAGAGAAAAATAATTAACGCCGTTTGTACGGATTTAACGGAAGGGATTTCATTGATGCAAATTTTATTAAGTGAGGACGTAATTGACGCATTTTTTAAAGGATGGACTAATTTGACATTTTCGAGCGAAACTGGGGACAAAATAGGGTATTCAGCCTTTAAATTATTTCAATGTCAGAAAGATATTTACCAATTCATCTAAAGAAATGCATATTTACTATATTAATTTAAATTTTTAATTTTTATTTCAAAATGATTTTTTTTATCATTGAATAACTTAAAGTGTTATTGATTTTAGATCATAACATTTTATTGCAAAAAAAAAGTCACAATTTTAAAATATAAGATTATTTAAAACATAACAAATTATATAATGACTCTTTTACTACTAATAAAAAATAATTTTAAATTTAACTTAATTTTACAAAATCAACTTTTACGGTAAAATTGCACTAATTTATATATTATAAATTAATCTTAATGGATATACGACTTCTAACAAATTATACATATTTTATATTGATAAGTGTTCTAATAGCGAGTGAAATAATATGTTTAGAACAAACAACAAATTTCCCTAAAATAAACTATAAGTTGACTTTGATACCAGACACTAAAAAATGGTATATGTAATTCATTTCCTTTGTAGAAAATACATATAGGATATTTTATTTATAATGAAGAAAATATAAACTAAACCCACTAAAAAAGACTTGCAATTGATGAGATATTATCACTTAAAAATATTGAAGAAACTCACCATTAATTAAAATAATGCGAGTTGTTTCAATACAACATGAGAAGTCATAAATTATTTAAAACAATGAGAGAAAAAATTCATGTATGTTATCAAATTTTCCAAAGTTTGAATATAAATGTTAAACTGGATTTTGATTCCATTAAAATAAGATTAAAATATATAAAAAAATTAATAATAATTTTTCATTAAAAAAATAAATATACCTAGAATAATCATCAATGAAAATAATATAATATTAAAAGTCTAATAGGAGACGAAACATATGGAAACATTACAAAGAAAGAAATTATTTCAATGACATGACTCACATGCTAAACTAGATAATTTGGATAAATTTGAAAAAAACTGTTATAATTTAGAGAAATTAAAATGACTTAAGAGGATGAAAAAAAAATAACTTTTTTTTTAAAAGGCTTGTTCATAATTCAATTATATTATATTATTAAGAATTCTTATTGGTTTATTTAATTTTAATAACTTCTTCTTTGTTTAATTCAAGAAGGAAAAATAAAATAAAACTTTCACAGGTATACATATAAAATGAATGAAAATTTTAATAGACTACTTACGCATGATGAGTTGATTCTTATCTATTTGGTTTGAAAATTAAGTGAAATAATCAATTATGACTTATACGGATAATCAACATATCTTGGTATGATTGTTTTATAGGATAATTTGGAGAGAGAAAAAATAGATTTGACATAAATTGCTTTTTTTTCTAACTTTTTGTTTTTCGTAACAAGAAAGAAATACGCCCTAGACTTCCCAGAAGGAGCCTACAAACATTTTGAGACAAACATCACTATCAAATTATATTAAGTTGGATACGATACATAACTTAAATACCTAAATTGAAGAATATGATGTAGTGTGGGTATATATAAAATATAAAAGACACTAGTTGAAACTATTTTTTTTCTATTCCATCGTTCATCTTCAATTCTTTCTCTCTCCAAGTTATGAATGAAGATAAAAATTTTATTTTATTACATTATGTTTCACTTTATCCTATATTAATGTAGATATTTTCCTTCTATTATATCACATTGCATAATTCAGACACAGAACCAGTTGTAATAATTTAAAACACTGGCTAAATCGTGCCATTCACGGTATTAGTGATTTCCCCCCTCTTTTATTTCAATACATGCCCCAACCAGCTCCTTTTTCAAATCTGTAAAAGTTTTCATTCAATTTAATTGTTATTTTATATATCCTTGTTTTTATCTAATATTTAATTAATCTGAAAAAACAGTGACATAAGAAATAAAAAAATCATAATTTATTAAAAACCATTTATTTTCAGGTTCTACAACATAACCTCACGCTATAAATAAAATAATATGGATAATATAAAATCAGAAACGGTATTACTTCTGACCGTAGTGCAAAATTTTGGCATACTTATTCAGCAGACTTGTTCAAATAAATAGTCCATTTTCAAATAAGCTCCTCTGGACTCGCCAATTTCAAATACAAATTTTGGGCAAGCTGGCATTCACGCGATTCTCTATCCAATGTAACACAGCAACATAAGTGTCATAAAAAACGAAACAATGTAGTTATAAAAAGAGCACAGTCGAATGCAAATTTTATCACAGGAGGAGTCGGTAGCCTAAAGAAGTGGTGGGTGCATACCAGTTGAAACGATATGTGAGATGAAAATTGTTGTTATGTACATTGAACAGTATCATCAATAAAAAACAACCTTACACCTTGGTAGTTTGTAGAATAAAAAAGTTAGAAGGAAAGAGTAAGTTGGCTAAACGAGAGTTCCTTTGGTATATGATTAAATAGAAATTGCTGTTGAACAATCGTCAAGTCTGGGTCACCTTCACAGGCGTCTTTCTAAGCAGGACCATTACCTACGCGTAAATAAAGATAGGGAAAAAACGAAACGATTAGGATACAGTGACTTGCCAAAACCCATTAACAATTGGTAATAATCTCATCGTTGCGCAAAAGTAACCTTGATGCAAGGTGCAAAAACAATAACGAATTTTATATTTATATTTGAGACGCATCAAAACATTGAGTCAAAATTTTTTACAATGGAGAAGCTACACGATTATTTGGATGGGGTATACAAGTACGATGAAAAGAAGACAAAATTCATATTGTAAGGTCTAATTTTATATCATAGCTAATCGAATGTAAGTAACCCTTTTTATTAAGGTCTAACCGGAATAGGATCACCTACAGTTTAAAATGAACTACAAGGTTATGCAATTTTAAATCAGGGTTCAGAGTTTCTAACTTGAATTAGATTTTATAACTTCATACATTTTATAAGTTAATATGTAAAATTTAATTTTAATGGGTGAGATTCATGCAGAGAACCTAGTCAAGTGATAACCTAACCAAGGAGAAAATCGCAGTGCTACGAAGTACGAACCCTTAATGACGAGAATATCACAATTTGAAGACTAAACCACGAAAGAATCGAATGCTCTTCAGTACCTAAATGGATCGCTTCGAACTATTTATGAATGACAAACCAACAATTCGATAGCATAAGAAAAAAACAGAATCTCTACGCACATGATAATATACAAAGGAATTCTTGGGATTCAGAATTCTCCTCAAACAATTTTATGCGTTAATGGGTGAATACCCTGCAATGTAGGTAGCACTCAACACTCGCCGGCTATTAACTATTAGCATCATCAATCCTTTGAGCAATAAACCAATCATTACTCAGCACTATGACAGAAAAGAACCTTTTTAGCAGAGAAAATACGTTATGATGGTATTCCAGTGTTAAAAAATAATTCTAATGTTTTTGGTATATTCTCTTAGCAAGTACCTTCCTCAAATTTAATATCCAGATAAAATTTATGCTCTAAAAAACACATTCAAAATGACACATTTTCTTATCACAATGCTGGCTGATACTCAGCACGAAGTCATTGAGACTGAATAAAGAAATGTAAGGAGGCTTTTTCATTTTATATATCATCTTTTGCCAGACTCTTATTTCCTAGGTTTAACCAAAGTAAATTAGAAAAGATCCAATGTTTTCACAAGAAATGCATAATCAAGGCCCAGCATATGAAGCAGTTGTAATTAACTAAACATGTATTTATCATTCATGTTTTAATGTATTTGATAGTTTACCATTAGTTTTGTTGCATTTCCACCTTCATATATTTTTAATGGACTTCCAACTAACAACCATTACCCATGGAACAGAAAGTCCATGTGCTCCGTCTCGGTTCTTTTATTTCCACGTATACTAAAATGAAACCAGCATGATTGATAGAACATTCATAAGAATGCATACAATTCAGTGTTTATTAACCCTCCATCGATAGTAAAATTTCTGACGCCTCTCCATGGTATTCCTTACACCTTTTCCTAAGTTTAGACGCTACTCTTACTTCAAGAAGTTGACCTTCATATTAGGAAGTAAATGGTTGAGTTTAGCACTTTCCACGTACGTTTATTGCAAGAGACTGATCACAATAATAATTGCCCTTAAATTTAAATAGTGCAGGTAGGATTTGAAGTTTTAGGTCCGAATTTTCATATAATCACGTTAATGAACAATTAGGATACAATCAAAGTTCCTATAAATTCAATCCGTGTCGAATTCTTGAGGTCATTATCATNCAGAAAGATATTTACCAATTCATCTAAAGAAATGCATATTTACTATATTAATTTAAATTTTTAATTTTTATTTCAAAATGATTTTTTTTATCATTGAATAACTTAAAGTGTTATTGATTTTAGATCATAACATTTTATTGCAAAAAAAAAGTCACAATTTTAAAATATAAGATTATTTAAAACATAACAAATTATATAATGACTCTTTTACTACTAATAAAAAATAATTTTAAATTTAACTTAATTTTACAAAATCAAC